GCAGCTTTTCAGTTTTTCCAATATGTGTCTTCTGCTCAGGGAACCTGCACCAACTCCTGGTTCAGTCTTTCCATGAGGGAACTATTGCTTTAAATCCGAGTGGCAACAGACCTCATACTGATAAAATTGAAGCAGGGGCAGCTGAATCGACCTTGAGAAAACAGAAGTGATTCACAAACAGAGTTTCCCACAGTCACTGATTCTGCTAAGGGCATGCCAGAAGAAATGTTGATAGACTTTAATGATATATTGCCAGAACCTGAGCAAGCTAATAATACACAGAGACTGGATGTTTAAAAGAAGCATTGACAACAACTACTCAATCTAATGCATCAAATAACAATTATAACTATCCTCCAACAAGTGCCCCTATGGAGAACTTGAACTGACTATATGAAGGCCAGTGCAAGAAAAACACTTTAAACATCATATCAAGGAATGTAGCCGGGTGGTATCAATTTAGAGGCTTTAATCACTCTGATCCTCTGAAAGGTAAGGATATTATATTGGTGAAAGAGATTTGGACTGTTGATGATCTCCTGCTTAATGGCTATTATTCATATAAGCTGGAAGCAAGGCCAGGCAGAGGCCCCGGGAGACTGAAAGGAGGGCTGGGTATATTTATTTCTACCAACTTGAGAGCAGAGTCCACACTTATTACCCCTTTAAACCATTCAGCTATGGCCCTTTTCCTCAAGTTGGACTCAGTCCTGCTTTTGATCATTAATGTTTATCTCCCTCCTTCACTAAGAAAAGCTGAAACCGCTGCTGTATGGCTGGAGTTGGAACACTACGTTAATAATCAACTCATGGAATACCCAAATGCCAGGATCCTACTAGGAGGAGACTTTAATGCCAGATTGAGACCAGATGATTATACATTATTCATGAAACATCATCAATATCCAACATTGGAGGTCACTACACAAACCAATGCCCCCCTCATACGACTCTCTAAAGATGTTAGAGCTAACTATGCTGGCCTCTGTCTTGCCAAGTTGGCAAATAAATTTAACTTCTTCATATCTAACGGCTCATGGCCTGGTGACTATCCTGGCGAGTTTACATTTATGGCAGGGTCCAAAACTAGCACCATTGATTACATCTTAACTTCTATGGACTTAGTACATTATATAGAAAATTTTGAAGTCCTGCTTTACCTAGAAAGTGATCATCTACCTCTGTGTATATACATGAATCCCTTTTTAAGGCAAATTCCCTCCAAGGACGATTTTATCCCTGCAATCTTTACAGCGGGCCTAACAAGATGTCGGGTCAAATGGACCCAACAACTTGATCAGCAGGTAGGGAGAGCCCTAACAGGATAATTTTCAAAAACTCCACACAGCCTTTATATCAGCCAACCTGACTCAAGACTTACTAGAACTATATAAAACTTTAGTTTACAAGATACAACCATTATTAGCACATGACTGAAATTTCTCAGCTAAGAGGTCCTGTACTCCTTCCAAACCATGGTTTGATAAGGATTATGTAGAAGCCAAGAAAGCCCTTAACTTTGCATACAAGGAGTACAAAAGTGAGACTGGATATGGCTATAAAGCAATTCTTAAACAGTTACTTACACTCAAAAAACAATTCAAGCAATTGATTGCATTCAAGAAGAGATAAGACACGAGGTCTTCCTGGAAACAGCTCATCGTGGCAGCAAAACAAAAGAACTCCTTATTTTGGGATCTAATAGCTTGCCACGCTGAAAGAATCTATACTCTGTTAGACTGTCATATATCTCCTATAACCTGGGAATTTCATTTTCGGAGAATGTATGAAGACCCCTCCAGCGACAGTACAAGGTCTATAGTGAAGGATTTACCTGAGTGGCCTCCAGTTTCAGAGCCTGAAATTAAATCCCCCATTGGCCAACTCAGGATCGGGAAGGCTCCAGGAGCTGACTTTCGGCCAAATTACCAAAGAATAATATGGAGTGGTGGATACCCATTCTGGCAGCCCTATTCACCTATATTGACTCCACCGACCATGTCCCAGAGGATTGGGGCTTGACAATTATGGTCCCAATTTATAAAAAGGGAAAGAGACGGCCCTGCCAATTACAGACCAATAGGTTTGCTAAATATAATCAGCAAACTCTATGCCGAACACCTTCAAGATAAATTAAAATAGTGGCTGGATCTTGAGAACCTGATTGCTGAAGAACAAGCCAGGTTTAGAGAGGGGAGAGGCACCATAGATCAGTGCTTAGTTCTTCATCATTTGATTGAAAAATATGCATTAGATAGACCTGTATCATTATATGCTGCCTTTATAGATCTTAAGTCAGCTTTTGACATGGTTACAAGGATTAAGTTATGGGAGAAGCTGAAAGCTACCTCAATTAATCACAGACTCCTACATCTGTTACATGGCTTACATACCAAAACATCCCTCAAGGTGAGGTGTAATATGCAAGGGTCTCTCTCGAGGTCAGTTGAAACTCAAAAGGGGATTAAACGGGTGCATTTTGGCCCCCTTGCTCTTCAATTTTTATATAAATGATATGGTAAGATGGTTAAATAATCCAAATTACCCCCCCCCAAAAAAAAAATAGGTGACCAAAGCATTGCTCTGCTGCTCTATGCAGATGATGCTGTTAAAAGAGCTTTGCGAGCCCTTGTCCAGTATTGCCGATATAATAAACTGGACATAAATTATGAGAAAACAAAGGTTATGGCTTTTGCAAAAAGGCCAAAACGGTACTCATGGTATTTAAATAGCCACAAAATAGAGCAGGTAACCACCTTTAAATACCTAGGGGTGGTCATCCATGGCATTGGCTTGCAAAAAGCCTATGGAGAATACATGGCTGCCTCTGGCTAACGATCAGCGAGTGCCATTCTTAAATTATTCCACACAAAGGAAGGACACTATGTTCCAGCTGCAATTAAGCTGTTTCTGGCCAAGTCTCTAGAACAGCTTCTTTATGGGACCTTGCTCGGACCCTCAGCTTCGTGTTTTACACTACTGGAAAGAGTTCAATCCAAATTTATCAGAACAATCCTTCAGATGCCACGCTGTGTCTGAAATGTCCTTCTGCACTTGGAGACAGAATTAATAAAAGTCAAAGCAAGAATCTGTATAGCTTCCTTAAACATCTGGTTAAGGCTTAATTGCTTTCCGCAAGGCCTTGCTCCATTAATTCTTCAAGATGAATTCTCCTTTTCATGGATCAATGCAGTTGAGTCCAACCTTGCCAAACTAGGCTTCTCGTCAGCCTCAGTTCTCAAATTGGACTACGACCAAGCAAAACAAACCTTGCATCAAAGGTTAGAGGACATCGAGAGGCAAGCGGATTTAGGTATAGCTCCACTGTTTCTGGCTCCAGACTCTGTTAGATACATGGTTACACCTGCCAGGTATCTTAGTCAGCATGGTGCCATGAGTTTTCATCGGCCATCCTGTATGGCAAGTATAAAAAGACTCCATTAGCAGAAAGACTCTGCTCCTGTAGCTGTGCTGGCTGAGGAATTCTGGGAGTTGAAGTCCACAAGTCTTAAAGTGGCCACGGTTGAGGACCCCTGGTCTAAGTGCTGTTGCTATTCCCTCCAGAAATAACCATAGAAATTATCCAGGATAGTGATAGAAATTATGAAACAGTGAATTGAGGACATAGACTTTTAAAATGAATTAAGTCAATTGATCAAAATTCACTGACCCTTAAGAGATTCCTACTTTCCTTTAATCTATTTAAGTGTGTTCATTTATTCCAAATATTGCTGGTCATTTTCTGGAATATAAGTTAATGTCCTTCCCTTTGCAATTTTAGATATAGATATAATATTCTAGCCCAGGGCTTTTCAACCTTTTCACCCATTGTACCACTTTTAGGATATGGCAACATCCGAGTACCACCAGTCGCCTAGCAAGGTGTCAAAAACTTGATGACCAAAAAAAAAAAAGGAAAAAAGTGATAAAAGTATAGGTAGTCCTCGACTTACAACAGTTCGCCTAGTGACTGTTCGAAGTTACAATGGCACTGAAAAAGTACCCCCCCAAACCACAGCCGAGCAAGACAGCACCTGGCGATACTCTTTCTCCTGTCCAAGGTTTTCGTTGTTCTGAGAATTTCTGTTGAGGATTGGCAGCGGGGGTGGGGTGGGGGGTGTTTGGTTTTTATTCCCCCCCATTTGCTGGGTGGTTGCAGCAGGTTTTGGTCACTTCACATGACCGTGGGACACTGTGACTGTCATAAATATGAATCAGTTGCCAAGCATCTGAATGTAAATCACAAGACCCTGGAGATACTGCAACATTCCAGCTGATCAGTGCTTCTTCTGGGCTCAGCAGAAGTGCCAGGATCAGTGCTGCTCTCCAGCTGATTGGTGCTTCTTTAGGGCTCAGCAGAAGCACCAGGATCAGCGCAGAGCTCCAGCTGGAGCCTGGCGCTGATCCTGGTGCTTCTGTTGAGCCCTGACAGCCCTGCAGCTCCAGCCATCTCTCACTCAGGCTTGTGCGGTGCTGCCACCGGTTTAGCTAATTCCCCTCCCCTGCTACCACTTTTCTAGGATGGTCGTGTACCACCTGCCAGGTGCCACTGGTTGAAAAGCCCTGTTCTAGCTCTCTAAAATGATACTGAATTGATCAAACATGGGTTTTGCCACTGCCAGTTCTGCACTGATATTTTGTGTAGATAATCTTCTAATTCATCTTTAATTAAAAATCTGCCAAGAATGCAGACAAATTTCATCAGTTGTTTTCCTAGCTGATAGAATCTGCAGCATGACATATTAAGCCCTTTTTGGTAATAAAAACAATAAGACTACTGTACAGAATTGTTAGGGGAATTGACTTAAGTAAATCAGAGTATTTAAAGTTTTAGTTATAATTTCTTTATATTTACCTTTAGGATTTGCAATCTTACTTGTAGTCTGATCTAACATATCAATTTGCTTTTAATACTAGATCAATGTTTTTGAACCCCTTTTTAGCAAGGCTCTATCCTCTATGCATTTTCTTATATCCTGAAATATTTCTGTGCCTGCTAGGAAGGAGCTAAAGAGTTTGCTGCTGCTTTGACTGCTGAGAGAATAAAAACACCACCAAAGCGTCCAGGAGGTCGCCGAAGGGGAAGGCTTCCAAATAATACCAGTAGGCCCAGCACACCAACCATAAATGTGCTAGAATCAAAAGATACAGACAGTGACAGAGAAGCTGGAACTGAAACTGGAGGTGAAAATAATGATAAAGAAGAAGAAGAGAAAAAAGATGAGACTTCAAGCTCCTCTGGTAAGACAGTTGTGGAATGTTACTAATTTTGTAAAAGTGTTTATGTTGGGGCTGGAAATATTGGATTAAAGTTCAGTTGTTTTATTGAAAAGCCATAATATTATGTACTACCTGCTTTTGAAAATAATGAATTTAATTTTTTATTATAAGAAATTTCCTGAACTGTCATGTTTTGGGTTCTACAGTACAGTCATTCCCTATTGTGCACCTTCCAGAATTCACAAGTAATTTAAATTACTGAAAATCCTTTAGGGAATAAGATTTAAATTCAGAATTGAATTAATGATAATTTCAGAATGTATAACTGTCAGCTTCCTATTGGAACGCTGCCATTCAAAACAGAGGGAGAGCACGCACTATTGTGGATTGAGGATGTTCCTGCATTGTTTCTACTTTTGCTTTGATGTATCTGCATGAGAATTAGGGAGGGGGGGAAACTCTCAGGGCCATCTGTTTTATCCTGTCAGCTAGCAAGGAAAAGGCACCAAAGAACAGCCAGTTATCAGCTTTTTGGCTGGAAGTTCTCACAACATCTGGATGCCAACGGATTGCTTCCTGATGGACTGGGGCAGTGGTGGTGAACCTATGGCACGTGTGCCAGAGGCGGCACTCAGAGCCCTCTCTGTGGGCACGTGCGTCGTTGCCCCAGCAGAGTTCGCCAGAGTAGCAAGCACGTGGCATTTGGAAGCAACAGGGCAGAAAATGAGCAAGGGGCGTTGGTTCCCTGGGGATGCCCCAGAGATGGCAAGGGACTGCCCCCAGCCACGCTCACCCAGTCTGCCTTGACCACTGCAGCCATACCCACCCCATGGGCCACGCCGCCCTCCTGAGGGCACCACAATGCTGATGCACCCTTGGCACTTTGCGATAAATAAGTGGGTTTGGGGTTGCAGTTTGGGCACTCGGTTTCTAAAAGGTTTGCCATCACTGGACTGGGGCATTGGGGTGGGGCTGGAGAAGCACAACTTTTAGCTTAGTCCTTTTATGCGGAAACTTCAGATTCTGCCTTTCTTCTCTGTAATCACTTTCTCTCAGTAAAAGATCCTTTTTGAAACAATGCCTGTTTCAAGAGTCGTGTTTTCCTGAGGGGATAGCTGAGGAAGGACCTTACATTAACATTTTTTTCATTTTACATATTTTTATGGATGCATGTATATCCATCTAAACTGAGCAAAAATATTTAGTATGAAATTGGTATTGTCCATGTGTATTTTTGTTTAAAAATATGAAGTTATTATTGTATAAGAGGTTAATGTAATTGGAGCCATTAAGTTTTCAGAACAGTGCAAATAGGCATCCAGCAACAGGATTAACTTTCCCAATGACTGGGAAAGTAGAATTTCCTTTTTTAGTGTGTATCTTTCTTTTCCCTTGCTCACGGTATATATCAGAGGTGTCAAACTTGCAACGTCATGTGACGTGTCGCGATGTATTGCAACTTTTTTTCCATTGTCGGCAATGGGATGGGTGCAATTTCGCCATGACATATCCGGCCTGTAGGCCGGCAGTTTGACACCCCTGGTATATATGAAAAGAAATTATTTTCTAAGTCCAAAAAGAACAAGTAGGCCAGTAAATTTAATTCAAGTTCTATATTGAGTTACATATGCAGTCTACTCCGATTAATAATGAAAATTTATTTAAAGCACAACAATAATAACAATAATGTAATAATGATTATTTATGCTGAAAAAACCATATTGCATTTCTGGTACTTGGGCTTCATCAAAAAGATGAACAAAACAAGAATCTTTCAGATCTTTTATATATCAGCTCTAGATTCTTCTGGCACCAAAATTTCATCAGAGATACTTCCTCTTCAGAAATGTGTACTGAACAACAGAACCAGAACTACTTTAAGTCAAGTAAATAAATGGAGCATTGAATAATTACTGTGTAAGATACTTCTGACATAATATGATGGAAATAGCTAATTAATTAAATATGTGTGATTTTTTTTCTTTGTGCTCCAACACATGCTAGACTCTTCAGTTGTACCTTAGGTAAAAATCTAAATGCTTTTCTTGACAATGGTAATTAATCCATTGTTTGATACCCTTATCTCATCAAGTTAGATTTAATAATTACAATGGATATTTTTTGATACTTCAAAGGGTATCAAATATGCTCAAACATTAATTTCCAACTTCATGCTGGAGCATGTTACTGTAATCAGTCATGTTCTGTGTAAAATCAGTTACTTTTATACCATAAATCATAAAATAAGTTGGCATATATTGTTTTAGTCTGTCTTCCTCCCCCCATTATGCTTATGTGTTTTCTTTCTGTGCCAAGAGTAAATGAATGATTCAGTCAAACCTGATACAGAGATACCATCAAAATTTTCTGTCTTCTGAGGATACAATTGGCAACACTTTTATTGATTGCTTCTCTGATTGTACCATATATTGAATTTTTTAAAATATTTTTATTGATTTTAAAACAAACAATAAAAGACAATAAAAACCAAACTCAGAAAGGAAGAGTAAAGAGGGGAGGGAGAGAGAATGTGTAGGTAGAATAGAAAATGCAAGAGAAAAGAAGAAAGGAAAGAAGAAAAAATAAAAAGGGAAGAAAAATATTTAAAGAGGTGACCTCTGATTTTCATCACAAATACAAACAGACTTGGAACTCTTCACCCCCTGTAAGGTTGTATGCAGGTATCTTTCTTCTCATAACATGCCTTATCCATATGCCAATCCATCAATCATTAATATTTCATTCCTGTTATCAGTAAAAAAAATCCATAAAGATTGCCTAAAATTTTATAGAAGCTTATTTTAACATTCATCAAACACACTCACTTTGTACTTATTTCTTTTGGCTCTAGCAATCTTGATCTTTCATTCATTCAGATGTTAATTTGGATTTGATCTCTTATCAGGATCTCCATTCTTGGCCTGGTACCTTGCTGGGTTCCTACCATCAAAGGGGAAGGAAGGGGGGAGGCATGTAGGGCAATACACACCTGTGTATCTAATGATACACACCTATGTATCTAAAGGGGAGGGGGAAGTGACAACTGAAGTGTCAACTGTCCAGTTGGTAAATCCAGAAAAAGAAACTCCTGGTGCATTATTTAATCAAGAGTATAAACTTTACTTAATAAACCATATTGGCAATGATGAAGTGAAACCAGCTCTGGGTTTCCCGTGCAAACGGTAGAATAGTTGATCCCCACCTTTCCCTATGGGTCACCTCCAGTCCATTATGTCTACCAATCACTTCTGTTCATTTTGTTATGGGAACTGGCCAGCTGTGCTAGTCCACCTGCTCAATGTGTCCTTGGGTTGGGCACTCTCTCACAGGAACAGTTGATACTCAGATGCAACTGCCCCCACCCTTGCATTCCATCCTCCCTCTTTTTTCTTTGTCAAGCTGCGAGGGAAGCAAAATATAGGTGAAAGTGCAAATCAGTTCTGAGATGGAAAAAAGACCAGATCACCAAACTGGCTTGTACCAGGATCTTCAAGGCTATTTGACATGAGAATTGAATGTTACCAATTTCACACCCCAGAATTTCTCAAAACATCATACCGGCATTACATGGACTTGCCAGGGGACTGGTCATGGGAAAAGGGATTGGGAGTTGGAAAGAATACCTTTGTATTTTTCACGGGAACACCAGATTCTGCCTGACTATGCTGCAACCAGTTTCTTTCAGTAAAAATTCCTTTGCTTCAATTAAATGGAGTCACAATAGCTCCTTGCAAAGAGACCCCAAAGTAGTAATTTGCTGTGGGTTTAAATACTTTGAAACAAAGAAAAGTCATCATGCTCTCAAAAGTGAAGGAACCTTTTAAAGACCAGTGGGTTCACTAACCTCATTTTTGAATCATTTCTGAATCATTATCTTAAGGCTAATAGAGAGCTTCAAACTCACATGGTGAGTTTAACTTCACTCCACAATAAAAGAAAAATTAATTATAAGCTTGAGAATGTTTTAAAAAATGGCAAAAGGCTAAATAAGATTTTATTTCAATCAAGTTATAAACAAGCTAAGGGACAAAACAAATTTGGATTTTTTACTATAGGATTTTGGAAATAATTATATAAACAAATGGCACAATGTCTATGGAGATTCTCCAGCATGACGAGTGGAGAATCCACCAATGGGTTTTCTTCATCTTCTGCCCGTAGTCTAGTCGTCCAATTTTGCTTCGCTTCTCCTCTTGGGACATCCCTTCCCCAGTCTCGACTAGTCTTGAGCCCGATTAGACTGAATTCTTGATTCCTGAAGTGGTTCTTCTTTAAGGTCATATATTTCTGATATTTTGGTCAATCCAAAGGGGGGGGGGAACGGTAAAGAACAAACAGCTGTTCGTTTGAGCCCTTTCTGCTGCCGGATCGCAGCTCAACCATGAGGCTGGCCTGAGCCCAGCTGATTGCCGGACAAACAAGGAACCAGACGCCAATTTCTGGTCACCAAGTGTGACCCTGAACAAAGGGAGAGACAATCCCCTTTCCCCCCCCCAACCCAATCCTCCCACAGGGCTAGCCAGGATAGCCGAAGCAATTCAGAATCCATTAGCACAGCTGATCAGCGGGCAATTAAACCTCCCGCGGACCATATGGAAGCCAGAGAGCCATGTGGGAACAATAGGACACATGCGAATCCAGCTGATCCGCAGGCGTCCTTTTAAATGTTCCGGGACTCACACGGAACTGGTGAGCTGCAGAGGAATATCAGCTTTCGAAGGCTCTTACCCTAAATCAGCTAAAGACCTTGAAGGCTCCTGCTGTTTCCATTGCCTGAAGCCGGGGATTAGCTGGTCGGTGCCGGGGTTTTAGACTCCGCAGCTCCCTCCCAGAGTTTCCCTGCAGCTCTGTAGCTTCCTTGCAGCTCACACTGACCATATTCCACCAAATACAAGTGCAGTTGTTTTTTCTTGGGCAGCCTCCAGGAAAATCAGCTGAGGGAGGCACGAGAGAGATTGAGTTTGGCCAATAACAACCTCAACTCCACCCAAGTTCAGTCCTTCTTCCTAGCCACATAGGAATAATAATAATAATAAATAAATAATAATAATAATAAAAAATAAAAATAAATAAAATAATAATATTATTAATAATAGTAATAATTGAAGAGCACAAGACATAGATCAGCTCACAATTACCCTGAACCAGACCGGAATTGTAAATCATTCCAGTTAAGAATGGCAGATACCAGTACAGTTCAAACAGCGTAGGAACCTGTCACCATCAGCCCCCCTGCTCATAAAAAACAGAGATCATCCAAGCAGGAGGTGGCTGGGAAGATCAAGGCCAAGGCAATATTGGCCAAAAGGCTTTCCAAAGCAATGAATAGGGAGGCTAAGCGACGTCACCAGGCTCTAGAGAGACAATTCTCTCGAGCCGAAAGGAGGCAAAACTCCACTGAAGATGAATTGGAGCCACCCAATTATAGGGAGGAGGAAATTTTTGGCACAAGGAAGCCTAGTCAGGAACCTCTGGAAACAGGCCCATACGGAACAGGGGAATGGCTCTCCCCTAAGCGAGAGACCTGGAGATCTGGGTTCAGAAGCAGGCACCTGTCGCTCAGATAATCATGGAGCAATGTCTTCAGAACACCTTCAATCCCTGATATCTCAGGCTGTCGCATAGGCCATGGCCTCCTCAAGACACCATTGTTCCAGAACAAGGTCTGTGGCCTCTAGGGATGGCTGCCGTTTTTCTCAAGAGGAGGCTTCTGTGTACCAAGACTCTATTTCCTCCTCTAGGTCCTTCAGAGGCAGGAGGTCTCCTGTGGAAGACCATGAGCTGATGGATCAGAGACTGTCCGACGAAGAAGATGTATCTCCAGATCCTCCTCTGTTTGTAGGTCTGTTTAATCCATCCTTATTAAAGACGCTGCTACATAAGGCCAGCGGCACTGCAAATATCGAGAGGCCCCCGATTCCGCAGAAAGGAACCTCCACCAATCCCTCAACTAGTAAGGTCACAAACAACGAAGTATTTTCACAGCCCACCTATACCCAACACTTTGTTCCCTGCCCACCTCTCTTCTTTGATTCTGTTCAGAACAACATGGGGGCACAGGGTTCCTTCCTCCCAAGGGGGGGGGGCAGACAAGAAAATGTTCAACATAGATCCAGCACTATCAGAGATAATAGAAGTGCCAACAATAGACGAACCCATTGCAACTCTCTTTTCTCCACCCCCGATAGCCGGGGATGCAGCGGAGGCCCTGAAATCAGAAGACAAGAAGATGGACCTCATCTTCTGGAGGGCACACCAGACCTCGGCGTGGGCAATCAAGGCAGGCATCACTACGTCCTTTTTCGCCAGGACATCTCTTCTTTGGCTGTGCCAACTCCAGTTGAGTATTCCCCCAGTGGAGGAGAAAACTCACCAGAATTTAAGAAGGTTAGTGGCGGCAGCGGAACTCATGTCGGATTCCTCCTTACACGCAACCAATTTCTCTGCCAGAGGAATAGCATACAACACTGGTGCACACAGATTGCTGTGGCTCAAGCATTGGAGAGCGGACATGAAGGCTAATTGGCATTTAGCGGCAGCACCCTCTAAGGGCGGCCGACTCTTTGGCAAGGTGCTTGACCCTTATCTAATTGAAAATAAGGACAAATGCAAGATCCTGGCCCACCTGACAAAGAGGATGGAGAGGAGAGCTCCCTCCTATTCCTGTAGTCCGTCCTTCCGACCTGATGCAGGCACGGATCAGGGGGCCTTTTCCCGTCCCTATCAGCCCAGATCGGACCGTCAAGGTGAGAGAAACAATAACAGGGACAGGTTCAGACAACAGGTCCAAGCAAGGCGGCTCTTTCGAGGAGCGGGGGGCGTCCCTACCGCAGATCCAAGTGATGGCCCAGGGGGCTCCCCCATTGGTGCCGGCTAGCCCTTTTTGCTCACAAATGGCAAGCCACCACCACGGACCTCTGGGTCCTAAATACCATCAGATTCGGCCTTTCTCTAGAATTCCTCTCAACACCCTCGAACCAGTTCATTCCTTGCCCATCTCCAAAAGATCTGATCAAGAAGAACCTCACTCGGGAGGCCATCCAACACCTGGACATTCAGGCTATAGAACCGGTAGAAAGAGATCAAGTGGGGACAAGGATTCTATTCCATCCTATTCATAGTCCCAAAGAATTCAGGGGGGGGGGATGGGTGGAGAGCAATACTAGACCTAAAGAGTCTGAACAGACACTTGGAGTACAGAAAATTCAAAATGCAAACCCGTCACTCGATATTAGCAAGCATCAGGAAGGGGGACCTTCTGACGTCCATAGATCTGACGGAGGCCTACCTTCACATTCCCATATTTCCGGATCACCGGAAGTTTCTCAGGTTCTACCTCACGGGTCAACACTTCCAATACAGGGCCCTATCTTTTGGACTTTCTTCAGCTCCCAGGGTATTCACAAAGGTATTGGCAACAATGGCCGTGCACTTGAGAACAATTCCTGTGCGCATCCAATGCTATCTGGACGACATTCTCATCCAATCCTCGTCGGTCCAGACAGCACTGTCAGACCTGGCACTGACTCTGAAGACCCTTCAAGACCATGAGTTCTCAGTAAATTTTCAAAAGAGTCAGACTGTTCCCTAAACCGTCTTCTTCATCTGATGTCATAGACACATAAAAATGCATGGTCCATCTCTCTGAGGACCGTCAACGCAGCATTCAAACCCTGGTCAGGCTCATCCGAAGGAAATGATCCTCAACGCTGGCTACACTCTCACAGTTACTAGGAAAGATGGTGTCATGCCTCGCAATCATACCTTGAGCAAGGCTACACTCCAGAGAGCTCCAGTGGTTCCTACTTCCGTTTCAAAGAGTGGGGATAGACTCCTCAAACTGAAGAGTGAAGGAGCCACCAAAGGTCCTGAGGTTGCTCCAGTGGTGGTCCTCCCCAGCGATGGGGAAGGGACACTTGTTCAGGGAAGCCAACCAAGTCACCCTTACAACGGATGCCAGCCTATTCGGCTGGGGAGCGCACCTGCAATCACAGCTAGCACAGGGTCAATGGTCAAAGAAAGACCTAAAGCACAACATAAACTGGCTAGAACTCAGAGCCATACACCTGGCCCTCCGTCACTTCCGCAGCACAATGATGCATCGTCACGTGCTCATACTCACGGACAAGGTAGCGGCCAAAGCGCATGTCAACCGACGAGGCACGCGATCCAGGGCCCTCATGACCGAAGCACAAGCACTGGGAATCTGGGCAGAAAACAACCTAGCCTCCATCAAGGCCGAGCACATCTCAGGAGAAGCCAATCGCCAGGCAGACTTCCTGAGCAAGACAACGATAGACCACTCAGAGTGGAGCCTGCACCCTGCTCTCTTCAGAAAGGCAGCAGAGAGATTCAGACATCCAGTGTTGGACCTGTTTGCCAGTCCAAAGAATACTCAGCTTCTGAGATTCTTCTTTCGTTTTCCGACACCAGGAGCAGAGAGAGCGGATGCACTCCGAAGCCACTGGCCAAAAGGACTGCTGTATGCATTCCCACCTGTTTCTCTGATACAAGCAACCATCAGGAAGATATTGCAGGAACAAGTGGAGGTGATACTCATTGCACCGCACTGGCCAAGATGGCCTTGGTTTGCCAATCTCGTAAACCTATCTACATCTCCACCATGGAGGATTCCTCCCTCAACCAGGGGTCCCTGCTACATCCAGACCCACAGTGGCTCCAATTGACCACCTGGCGCTTGAGCGGAATCTCCTAGAGAGAGACAACTTCTTACAAAGAGTCATTAAGACTCTCCAGGCCTCTAGAAGGCCTATGACCAATAGGATCTATGATTCCACTTGGAAAAATTATTGCAGTTGGTGCAACAGGCAACAACTAGACCCATGCAACATCTCTATCACAGACATCTTAGACTACCTAGCGGAAGGTCTGGATAGGGGGTTAGCACCCAACATAATTCGTAAACAGGTGGCCGCCCTATCAACCATTCTTACCTATGGCAACTCTGAAACTCTAGCCAGACACCCAGTAGTGTGATCCTTTGTAAAGGATGCATCTAACAGTAGGCCACCTGTGGTACTCAGATGCCCCTCCTGGGATCTACCTAAGGTCCTACAGGCCATCACCTTACCTCCATTTGAGCCTGTCCAGACCTGTGACCTACAGTATCTGACCCTTAAGGTCGCCTTCTTAGTTGCTGTTACCTCAGCAAGACGCATCTCAGAACTAGCAGCCCTGTCAGTGAGGGAGGATCTTTGTACCTTCCACACGGACAGGGTGGTGTTATGTTTGGATCCCTCTTTCGTTCCAAAGGTCAATTTTTTATTCCACAGAACACAGGAGGTGGTGCTACCAAACTTTTGCCCTGAACCGTCCCATGAACTGGAGCGCAAATGGCACACCTTAGACGTTCACAGAGTTTTAAAGCATTACATCAAGCGAACGGCACCCTTCCGTAAATCGGAAGCACTGTTTGTCTCCTTCTATTCTCACACAAGAGGTCAGAGGGTCACTGCATCCACAATCGGTAAATGGATTAGAAGGTGTATAGTGGAGGCATATAGTCAAGGACTGTCCCTAGATGAATCACTGCACATTCCACGCGCAGTACTGCAACCTCAGCAGCATGGGCAACTCAGGCTTCGATTGAGGAAATATGTAGAGCGGCAACGTGGATGTCGCCTTCCCCTTTTATAAGACACTACAAATTAGACAGATTCGCATCTGCGGAGGCCTCCTTTGGCAGGAGGGTACTCCAGTGCGTAGTATCAGAGAGTGGGACACAGGCCCAGATGGCATCCCACCCACAAAGACAGTGTAGCTTTGGTATGTCTCATTGGTGGATTCTCCATTTGTCATGTTGGAGAAGGGGCGTTGGTCTTACCTGAACGCCTTTTCTCAGCATGACGATGGAGAATCCACTCCCACCCTTGAGGCCAGTCAGGTCCTGTGAGGGGAGAGGATGGAGTCAACACAAGAAAACATAGCCAAATAGCTTTCGCCTCATCGAGATTGGGGAAGGGAGGTCCCAAGAGGAGAGGTGGAGCAAAATTGGACCACTAGTCTACAGGCAGAAGACAAAGAAAACCCATTGGTGGATTCTCCGTCGTCATGCTGAGAAAAGTTGTTCAGGTAAGACCAACGCCCCTTCTCAGTCATCCAAGTCATGGTTGTCCCAAAAGGTGCTTTTTTCACAAGGTAACTGGACTTTATTGTTTTCCTTTGAAGATGTTTTGCTTCTCATCTTCAGCTCTGACAAGGAGCTATCCACCTACAAGTGTGCAATCTCCTGTCCTCTCTTTATCCAGAGAGATTCCATGAGACTTCTTTGCAGCTACAATGTTATTTCCACTCATTCAGAGACATGCTAGTTCACCATTCCTCATCTGGAAATCCTGGATATGCCATTAATTGAAAGTATAAAATAAAAAACTTGTTTTAGAAACTTGAGGGGTGAAAGTCGAGTTTAATAACATCATACAGTGCTAGTAATATGAAGTCCTCCATATGTTTTGGACTACAGTTCTCACAATGTTTTAACTTTGGTCATGCCTACTGGCTGTAAAGCACACACATTGCCGATCAGGCTACATTTGAAATGGCATCTTACTGAAAGTAGGATGCTTGATTATTTATTTTGGTTTGGTTTGGTTTTGGTGTGGTCATTGCTGTGGTTTCTGAGACTTGAAACTGTTTGCTTTTGATATTGCAGAAGCAAATTCTAGGTGTCAAACACCAATCAAGATGAAGCCAAATATAGAGCCTCCAGAAAATGTTGAATGGAGTGGTGCTGAAGCTTCTATGTTCAGGGTTCTCATTGGTACCTATTATGACAATTTCTGTGCAATAGCCAGGTTAATTGGAACCAAAACATGCAGGCAGGTAAGCACAAATTTTGAAAATGTTTTAAAAACTACTATAGCAAAATTTAATAATTTCAAATGTATCCGATTTTATGGAGACGATTAATATTCAACCCAATAAAACTACAATGAAACTTAGGAGATAATTAATATTTTTCAGGTATATGAGTTTAGAGTAAAGGAATCTAGTATTATTGCTCCAGCACCTGCTGAAGATGTTGATACTCCTCCAAGAAAGAAAAAAAGGAAACACAGGTAAATCAATAGTATATCAACCATCCCACAACATTTTAAAGTGGGAAAAAAGAATTTTAAAAAGATTAATGAAAAGAATGCAACAAACAGGAAGTATATATTATTTTTTGTTAAATAAATGAAATAGTGTGTTCTAGGATTGCATCAAAATGTTCAATATTTGAGTGGAAGAATCTATTGCAAAGCAATATACAAATTGAAATGCAATTAAAATGTCCTTAAGATATTAAAAAATCTGCTTTAAATGTTCCTGTGATAACTAACATTTTAAAATTCAAAACAAATATAAATAATGGATTTTTTTCTAAAATATATGGCAATATGGAGAAAAGGGAACAAAATAGCTGTGTCTAGTTCGTTGGTATCATTATGTCATCACCTCACTATTTGTGATTATAAAATAATAGAGAATTCTTATCCCAATTATTATTTAATTTGTATCCTGTTCTTCTATACAGAGATCATTGAAGATAGCTAATCAAAAATAAATAACAGTAAAGCAACAAATATGAAAATCACTATTAAAATCCATCAATCAGCTGAACTGTATTGTCAAGTGAAATGAATATGAATCCTTTATAATGCCATAAAAATAGTGGGGATGAGAAAATATTCATCTGCTGACTATTGAATTTTTCAATTATCAAGATTGGATTATTTATGTCCCCTATCTCCCAGAATGCTCATCATTAGCAAGACACAAAAGTATTCATTCAGAAGACTCCATAAAAAAATCTGTATATTAGCAGTGTTTGAATTTAGAGTCCCTGAGTATATCCACATTTATCTGTAGGCAAATATACTTTATTGGCTTTCTTTAGTGAGCCCACCCATGTAAAATCTAATTTCCCTCTACCAAAAATTGGTTATATCTTATTTTTTTGGTGGATGAGTAGTAATATGAAGCTGTGAGCATTTCTATTTAGTCAGTGTTCTGCTGGTCTTAGCATTGTCTCCATCCAAGCAGTGTGAATGATTTGAAACCTCAGAGCCAGTCCGTTCTGTTATATGGGCTGTTGATTTCTAGCAGCAATTAGAATGCTGGGCTATGAAAACTGGGATAATACAGGTAGTTCTTGATTTACAACTATTCATTCAGCATCCATTTGAAGTTACAATGGTGCTGAATGAATGTGCCTGAAATTACATCTGTTGCAGACACCTCTCCCAACCAGTCACATAATCAGAGTTCAGGTTTTTGGCAGTCTGCCTATGCTTATGAGTGGTCACAGGGATGCTGCAACTCCTCTCACCTGCATCTCCCCTGCCCCCTCCCCCCAAGCTATGCCTTTAAATGCTGGGAAAATTCCAATGCAGCATGAAGCTGAATACCAGTACCTGGAAAGTATTCACAGTGGAATGCAAAACAACTGTCCCACAGATAACTCCAAACACCCTGGAGATGCCAAGGATATGAAGCAGCCTTCTCCAACAGATCCAGTCTAGCCCCATCACTGCCCTGCATTGCATTGCACCAACTGACCTTCACTATTTTCTTCATGTTTTGTAAGAGAGCTGTTACCAAGAATGAATTCACGGATTAGTATTTTTTTTTTTTTTTTGTAATAATGTAGTCTTAAGTGACATTTTGACATTTGTTTCTGAAAGTGATAAATATCAAAATCTCTTTTAAAATGCAGATTGAGTTAGGTGCATTTTCCATGTGAAAAATCTATTAACTATATTGTATGTTCTTCTTTTTATAGACTGTGGGCTGCACATTGCAGAAAGATACAGCTAAAGAAGGGTTAGCATCTTTAAACTTACGTCGTGAAATTCTATTTTTGTTTAATATTTTAACAAACATCCTACCTGTAAATTTTTATAAGCAAGTGGTTCTAGTATGTAAATGGAGATACTTTCTCCCTAAGGGTATTCTGGTTTAATTTAAGTCAGAAGATTATCCCTTGATTTGATTGTCCTACATAGGAGGAATAGAAATTATACTGACTCTAGGCTCAATATAGTATTTTCCCAGTTCTAAGACTATAGCAGAAAAGTGGGAAGATTTTGTACTTGATCCACTTTTAGAACATAAAACATCACCCCTTTTTTCCAGAATTTTTATAATAGACAAACAATAATGGTGCCTTTATAATTCTTGCATCAGGATACATCTAAAACTACCTCTTCCATATTGCTCCTTTAGCCCAACACAGGGAAAGATAAGAGTACTAAAAGATTCTGTTTAAGTGCATTGAGTTTAGATTATTTCTTTTACCCTTTCCCTAATTATTGAAAATATGTAGGGATATGCAGGGGTTTTATGTAATTATTTGGCTGGAAATACATTCTTCAGAAAATGTATCAAAATTTTTAGGTGGGATGCGGTTTGGGGGGAAATGGGCGGGCAAGACCAAATATGGTGTGTATCAATTTGTTTTATTTTTTATCTGAAGTATTTGTAAGATTGTTATGTATTGTAAAATTGAAAATAAAAATTTTTACAAAAAAAAGATGTATCAATTTTTCTGTCCTTAATAATAATGCCTACATTTGTTGTTGTTCAGATGGATCATCTAATCATGTTTACAACTACCAGCCATGTGATCATCCACGCCAGCCTTGTGACAATTCATGTCCATGTGTCATTGCACAGAACTTTTGTGAGAAGTTCTGTCAGTGCAGTTCAGAATGTAAGTATTGGGGAAATTTCATTTTAATATGATTTGAACAAGAGGTTGTCTCACTGATGAAATTTTAAAGCCATTCTTGTGAAAAGTTTAACAAAATTTAATAACTCATTCTGATTTTTAAAAAATCTGGTCAGATGGCAAGAGGAGAGTTCACAATTTGCCTTTTAAACACTCAGTGTCAGGTTAGTTGTTTCAAAAGCAGATTAGACAACCATTTTACTGGCATGTTACAAGGTTTCAGCCTTAACAGGAGATTGGACTAGGAAACCTCTGATGTTCTTTCCAGCCCTCTGATTCTATGTTCTATTTTTTCTTACTTAAATTGTAAATAAAGCTCATTTAAAACAAGCAAATATTGTGTCAGTCATAACAGCCATTAATATTTCCCAGTGCAATAATTTCCCCCCATGATTCTGTTCTTTTGAAGCTTATATTTTTTCATGAAGATCAATAATAATGAAAAAGAATCCTAGAACAAAATCTTTCCTTGTATTTTTTTAGAGAAGGTATTTATAAAGAAATTTATAGAGAATATTCTAAAGTGCAACCCCCAATTCACGGAAGCAGAGAGATTCACCGTTTCCAGGCCTTGGACCATATCCAGCTCTAGGAAACTAGATTGGTCGTTATAGCCCATCCAATATTCGCCTCAAAACTGTAATTTTTGGTGAAAACGATTTTTTTAACTATAAAGGAATATTACTTGTATTTAAGTATTTACATCCAGTTTTGGTCACCACGATGTAAAAAAGATGTTGAGACTCTAGAAAGAGTACAGAGAAGAGCAACAAAGATGATTAGGGGACTGGAGGCTAAAACATATAAGGAACGGTTGCTAGAATTGGGTATGTCTAGTTTAACGAAGAGAAGGACAAGGGGGGACATGATAGCAGTATTCCAATATCTCAGGGGCTGCCATAAAGAAGAGGGAATTAAGCTATTTTCCAAAGCACCTGAAGGCAGGACAAGAAGCAACGGGTGGAAACTAATCAAGGAGAGAAGCAACCTAGAACTAAGGAGAAACTTCCTGACAGTGAGAACAATTAATCAGTGGAACAGCCTGCCTCCAGAAGCAGTAAATGCTCCAACACTGGAAGTTTTTAAGAAGAGACTGGACAGCCATTTGTCTGAAATGATATAGGGTTTCCTGCTTGAGCAGGGGGTTGGTCTAGATGACCTCCAAGGTTCCTTCCAACTTTACTATTATTATTATTAATTAATTAATTAATTAATTAATTAATTAAAACTGAATTCAATATAAAGCACATTTCATTTTTGTTATGGCCCCAGCTATTTCTTTGTTCTGCTTCCTATGTCTCCTACTTTGAGGACTTATTCTTCAAATCAAGTACCATTTAAAAGCTAGCTAATCTTTGAAAAGTTGAAAATGGTTCTGAAGGATTTCCTGCTATGGGTCCACAAATCTTCTGCAGCATATACCATTCTTTCAAAAACACAGGGTTTGTAGAGGATAAAAATTTCAAAGAGGATTGTCCCAAAGCTTTAATGATAACACTGCAGTTTGAATAGATAATATTTTAAATACTGTAACATATATCTAAATGTATGAGCTGCTGATACGTGCTACTACCTGAACTGTTTAGATAAGTAACCTTGAGATATGTAATGACATGGTCTACTTTAAACTCTTTGGGTTTCTACTTCAGTTTGGTGACTGCATTTGCATTGCCTAGCATTTTAAACTGAACAAAGTCCTGAGCAAACCAGCAGTAACAGGAATTAAATAAATTGATTCAACTTTCATTTTTCTTTTAAAGGCCAAAACAGATTTCCTGGATGCCGTTGTAAAGCACAATGCAATACAAAGCAGTGTCCTTGCTACTTAGCTGTACGTGAGTGTGATCCAGATCTCTGTTTGACATGTGGAGCAGCTGATCATTGGGATAGCAAAAATGTGTCTTGCAAGAACTGCAGCATTCAACGAGGGTCCAAAAAGGTGGTTCATCTTTTTATGAACAGATGACACATTTTATCTTTGTTCATGATAGACATCTCTGCAAAATATATAGAGCATTCTCCTTCAAGAAAGTGGAAGATGATTTTTATATAACCTGTTCCCTGATTTATATCACTTAGTTTATTGGGGAATTATCTAAGTGTGTTTTTGTTGGGATGGTAATCAAATTAGGATTGTAAACCATTTTAGTTTTATTACTTTGTGTTTGCAACTATAGGAGTGTGAAACTGTATATTCAGAAATTGTATATTCTCAAATGCACAGTTTACACACGCTATTGGAAGTTCAGTTATCAAATGCTTGTATATTGTGTGATCAGCCATCTATAACACTGCTCTAACATAGAAGCCACCAGGATTGGCACATAAACATATTACACTTATGATAGACTACTCCATAGAATTTGTTGTTTAGTAATCATACAGAGTTATCTCCACAGACAAAAAATATGCACATCTGAAGCTGCTACTTTCATTTTAACAGAAATTAAGCAACACAGAATAAACTCAGTGGTGGAAAGCAGAAGGTTCCGTAATAGCACTTTCTTCTGAAGGTTTCACCATGTTCAGAAATTGTGCTAATACATAATATATTCATATTTGTTATATTTCTAATAGTACAGTGGAATTTTATGACAATGCCACAGATTAGTTCTTATGTTTTAATTAAATGCAAATTAGTGCTCTATTGTTCTTATTCAGATTCTATTCATTTTAATGGGCTTGTAGAAAATTTCCTTGTAGATAATACAGTAGCAATGACACAAAACAAATAAGCTTTGAGTGAAATGCTGCTCCTTTATGAGGTATAATTTTAACTGACATTTGCCTGCCTCACTTGATGCCTTTGCAGTTTTGAAATACCTGCATTCATGCTGATGCAAGGTTTCAAAAGACTCATGAAAAATTGGGGTGAGATGGAGATTTCCCTGATGTGGATTCAATGGAAGATCATTTTGTGTTTCAAAACTGTATTTTCTGTGAATGTCTATGAGTCCGCATGTCAGAACTTCACTATTTATATGAACAAGCACTAAAAACAAATCATTTATTGTTAGTTAGTCAATATTTTCATTTTTTTGCCCTTTTAACATTGCATATTATGTGTTTTATTAGAATTAAGTATCTTTTTAGTTTTATTGGCTTGTTTAAGGCACTTGCTTTTTCATTCTGCTAGCATCTGCTGCTAGCACCTTCTGATGTGGCAGGCTGGGGGATTTTCATTAAGGATCCAGTGCAGAAAAATGAATTCATCTCTGAATATTGTGGTGAGGTAAGAACAACTGTTTTGGAGTTAGTATTTTACACCCAAATTATTGTGAATTCTTTTGAATAACTACATCCTTTTCAAATGTATGTTTTTATAAGTAAGTAATGGAGAGATGATAGGTCTGTAAACATCCATATGAAAGAGCATATGGTTGCCTGGTTTGTATTAGAATTTTGAAGTATGTTGTATACATGAAGAGAAGGGAAATTGGATGACATTTTAAGAAAAAAATATTCTGCATTCTAATATACAGAATCTAAATATCCCTAGTAATATAAGGTATAATAATTTGGAAGGATGTTGCTAATAATTGATTTTTTAGGAATAAAACTTTGGGAATATTTCAAATCTGTTTTTTTTTCCTCTTAGACACCCAAAAAATAGTCCCACAAGGATGTCATAAATAGAGAATCAGGAATAGACACATAGAGGGAGGTATCTCTTCTTCCTTGCTCTTAATATTCCAGTGATGATAAAAATAGTTTTATTGACGGAGTAAAAACCCCTCTGCATAAAAAATACCGAAAGCCTCTTTCTCTGTATAATCTTATGTACAGTTTTTTACAGTAGGTAGGACTCATTGCTTTTGATTTTGATAGGATTTTGATATTGATAGGATTCCTTCTAATCACTCAAATTTAAAGGTTAATTGTCCTCAATTGGTTAGTGTAAATTTACCTTCTGAAAATCAGTTAGGCCAGGAGTTGAATTTCTTCCAATAGCTTTTCCAATGGAATACTCTTCTCCGTATTCAAATATATAGAAAAAACTACTTTATTCACTTGTTAGGCAGGAAAATAATATGACAATAATGCAGTTCTTAATCTACAGATCACTTGGACCCCATTATTGTAAAGAAGTCAAAAGGCTGCAGTGTGAATTCCAATTCTTAATTTTAATTAAAATGGGAACATAGTATCTTGCACTGTGAAATGCACTGTACAGTATCATCTTTATTTTCAAGAAAGCCTTTAGTACCATTGACATAAAAAAAAACAGTGAGGTAATTCTAGGCCATCTTTTAAGGGCCAGAAAGACAACAACAAACAAGCTGAATTTGTAAGGGAAGCATACTAAAATGCAGGAGGGATTAGATATAGGAAGAGCTTCACCAGTTTGTTTCTAGTAAATGAACATTTTGTAGCTTGCCATATTCAAGTAAACCTTTTGAAGAGTGTAAACATCTGATGATGGAGCACCCACAACAACTGGCAAGCTGTTCCACTTATTTTCACCGATAGGAAATTTTTCTTTAATTCGTGGTTAGATCTTTGTTTCAAAGGTTTCCATCCATTACTTCTTATCCAGCCCTTAGGTGCTTTGGAGAATAGGTCAACCCCCGCTTCTGTGTCACAGCCCTTCAAAAATTGGAAGACTGCTATCATATCATGCCTGGTCCTTCTGTTGGTTAGGGTAGACACACCCACTTCCTGCAATCATTCATCATGTGCTTTTAGCCTCCAGTGACCTAATCATCTTTATGGCTCTTCTTTGCATATTCTAGGGTCTCAACATTTATTTATTTTTTGTATTGTGATGACCAAAAATGGTTGCAGTATTCCAAGTGTGGTCTTACCAGTGCAGTAGAAAACAGTATTAACACTTCATGTGATCTTGATTTATCCCTTGATTGATGCATCTTAGGACTGCATTGGCTTTTTGGCAGTTGCAGCACACTACTGGTTCATACTTAAGTGGTTGTCAACTAGGGCATCTAAATTCCTCTGATATTTACACCTATTCTGTACCTATGCATCTGGTTTTTCTTGCCTAAGTGTAAGACCTTAATTTTTCTCACCACTGAATTGCATTTTGTCGGATAGGGTCCAGTGTTCAAGTTTTGGAATTTGAGCCTATGTTCTAAAGTGTTGGCTATTCCCGTTTTGTGCTGTCTGCAAATTTGACGAGTTCCCCTTCTATCTCATCTAAATTGTTTATGAAGATGTTGAAGAGTACTGGGCCTGACAGAACCTTGGGGTACCTGACTGCATGTTTCCTTCCTTGTAGATGTAGTTCCATTGAAGACTGCATGTTGAATGCAGTTGGTCAGCCAGTTAGAAATGCATCTGATGGTGATATTCTATTCCATGTTTTTCTATCCTATCAAGTAGTAGGCTATGGTCTCCTTTATCAAATGCTTTACTGAAGTCTAAGTAATCTACATCTACAGCATTTCTCTGATACATTAATTTAGACATTTGTCCAAGAATGCAGTTCTTACATTAGCAATAGCAAGTAGACTTATATACCGCTTAGCAAAAGCACTTACACTTATATACTGCTTCACAGTGCCTTTACAGCCCTCTAAGAAGTTTACAGAGTCAGCATATTGCCCCCATTTTACCGATCAGGAAGGATGGAAGTCTGAGTCAACCTTGAGCCGGTGAGACTCAAACTGCTGAACTGCTGGCAATTGGCAGTCAGCAGAATTAGCCTGCAATACTGCATTCTAACCACTGTGCTACCATGGCTCTTAATAATTTGTTGTTGCTAGGTGTTCACAGATCCATTGCTTAATGATCTTTTCTAGGTTTGTTATTGGGTAGTGATTTTGGTGTGGTGTATAGTAGTATACAGGTAATCCTTGAATTCAAAGTTATGAGTTATACCATACATATGACTGTTTCAAAATTACTATGGTCACAGCACCCCATGGTCATTCGCCCTTAATACCAACCATGGGATGCTGCAGAATCCTCTACCTCTCTCCCCATCCCATCCCTACAGGACCCTGTAGCACCTGGCTTGTTCCCAATGCCTCCTGGAAGCAGTTGCCATTTTCAGCACTCTGGCAATTACTTTAGGAAATGGAGATTGCTTTCGAAACTTAATCGGAACTGATGAGGTGGCCATCAGGAAATTGCAAATCTCTCCTTGTTTTTGATAGGCTTTGGGATTTCAGCACCTGGAAGCAAAGGCAGCAACTTCAGGATGAGCTTCCCAAAGTCTTCCTTTTTAATCCCCTCTCCCTCAGAAAGCCCTTTCTTCAATTAAGAAAACGAAAAAAAAAAAAGCTTCTCTTTAGGATCCAGCCAGAACTCCTCCTGTGTTTGTGTCTGCCTTTAGAACCCAGCTAGGATTCCAAAGGCAAATCATAGCTGCATTGTAAGGGTAGTCAAACAGCAAAAAACTCCAAGGACTCAGCTTCTGCCCTGTGTTCTGCAGGCAAAAAGCTGTAGAAAGTTTTTGTTTGCTTGCTTGAAGTCTCCTGACAGCCATATTCCATTCAACAACCTGCATGTTCATTTAACGAATGCTCTGGGAGAGCAGGGGTGGTTGGTCATTATTTGAGGCAGTTCATTTAATGTCTGTCCTGACTTCCAACCCTAATGGGCCAGTTCAGTTAAAGTTGTAACTCCAGAACTACCTGCATCTGGAAAATCTGTAGAAATATAACATGCTAGTGAAGCTCAATGAGTATTTTTGCCCAACCGTAATTCCAACCGATTCAGTAGTTTTTATCTATGAGAAGAAATCCAGACAATCATTTATAATTTTGAGGGAGGTTATGGTATCAAACTTTAAGAAGCCTTGTCATAGATAAAAGGTTGCAGCAGAATATATTAGAACAGTTTATTTGTAATAGAAAATTTCTAAGTTGCTGAATCAAATATTCTGCAAATTTAAAAGTGAAAGAGGGGATGGGAATGAGTAGTAAAAATAGGTTCTGGAGTTATCAGAACCATCTTTTAAATATTATTTTCAGATTATTTCTCAGGATGAAGCAGACAGAAGAGGGAAAGTCTATGATAAATACATGTGCAGCTTTCTATTCAATTTGAATAACGGTATGTGTATTGCTGTCTTTAACCTTCTTCTACTTTATTCACATCTTATCTCAAATATTGGCCACAGTACTAATGCTGCTTCCAGTCACCTAATTAGAATTGCTAAGATTTTTAAGTTTGAAATGTTTAATGTTCTTAATAATGGAAAAAATATTTTAATGTTAAATGTTATCAGGAATTGAAAACCTAACAAACTATGGTAAAAAAACAATTTGTAGGATATGTGAGCAACAAAGATGACACTTTATGAAAACTAGAAGAGTGTTAATTGACGAAAATACCCAGAATATTTTACAGAAAGCATTTAAATATTATGTATGATACCTGATAGAATATAAGCCAATATAATATAATATAATATAAGCCAAGTCAGTAATTGAAGCATAATTATTCAAGTGACAGATAAACAAAGCTTTACCTGCAAAATAAGACATTTTTTTCTAAGAATATTACTATATTTCCTACTTTTTCAGGCAACTGTGAATTTATCTGTTGTTTTTATTTAGATTTTGTGGTTGATGCAACACGGAAGGGTAACAAAATAAGATTTGCAAACCATTCAGTCAATCCCAACTGCTATGCAAAAGGTGACTACCGATACAGGAGTATACTCACATACTTTTGAAACAGAAGATGTTTGTAAAACTTTTCCTCAATTTCATTTTTTCTTTTACAGTTATGATGGTTAATGGAGATCACAGAATAGGAATATTTGCTAAGAGAGCCATTCAGACTGGTGAAGAACTCTTTTTTGATTACAGGTAGGGATAATAATGCCAAAACCTAAATCGGAGTACTAATACATTTCAATATTTAAGTCATGCGAATATCTTTACTAGCTTTTATCAATAAAAAATTGTAAAAATATGTGTAGTCAGAATTATTACATTGTAAGCTTCATAAATTATTGGATGTGGGAATAATTGATTTCATTTCTTTGGTAAGATTTTTATATATTCTTGAGGTGACTGGAAACCCTTTATGGACTTTTTATGTAAAAAATAAAAAATGAACTAATGATTTATGGTTTTGATTATTAGGCAGAATAAACTACAGAAAAGAGAGTCATGATGTCACCTTAGAGAAAAGTTAAAATTATATTTGTATTTCTTAACTGCTGTAAAAAAAATTGGAAGCCACTTCTTTATATCTTTATCTTTTCCCCCCTACTTTTCTTTTGAAAAAGTAGCTTTTCAAAAGCTTTTTAAGATTATTCTTGGGCAGTTTGCTTTAAAACCAATTATGCAAGTTATTTCTCTTTTTGTTTTAGATATAGTCAGGCTGACGCCCTCAAGTATGTAGGCATTGAAAGAGAAATGGAAATCCCTTGATACCAACTACCTCGCCTATAAAACAGCTGCCTTATCTTCAGGAGTTTCTACTACTGTGGGCAATTTTATTTTTAAAAACTGAATTGATGCAATTTGGAATGCAAAATTTGCAAAGTACTGTATCTGTAATTTATATTGAGATTTTAAAATCAACTTTTTAATGCCTTTTCACCAGCTGCAACATGTTTTGTACCATTGATCTTTTACAATACTGCAGTGTGGTACACTTTTTGAACCTTGAATAAAGGATACTTGAACTTTGAATTCATATTGTATGTTGCCATCTTTAAACAAAGGCTTGGCTTGAATGTAAATATATTTGAAATCTGCTACAAATTTAACAAAACTTGAATCAAAAATAACTGTGAAAAATTTAATACGTTGTTGATCCCAAAAAGATCACCTTACCACAAGAGCAGTTTTAGTGTTTGTCCCAATTAGTTGCATGCTCACCTAGTCTTTACTGTGAATCTTACCAACATATGTGACAAGGGATTTGTTTTTACAGCTAGTTTATCACAGAACTTGCCTGACATGCTTGATTTGGGCTCAGAAGGCTGTTGATCCAAGGTTAGCTATCTGGCTTCTGTGTCTAGCAGAAAACTAGAACCTGCTTTTGGGAAGTATCTTAACCATTATATCCTACTAGCTTCTTTACATCAAGAGCTGTATGTTGTTAAATTAAACTTAGTTATTTTCTTTTGTCCTAATGAACTTTATTCATCTTTTTTACAGTGAACTATAAAAAGTCACAAATATAGCATGTATGCTCACCGTGACTGCTTGTTCTCTCCTCTTCAACATGCTGTAGAAAAAATCCTTACAACAGCAGAAACTATCTCAGAATAGTATCAATATGTGCATGTGTACACACACACACACACACACACACACTCACTCACACACACACACACACAAAATAACAGAATCCCTAATGAATAATCAGGTCAGCCTGCAGAGTGCCCATGTTAGAACCAATATTCCCACTATTTTAGATGTTAAATATGAGCTCACATAACTTCCTATCACTAAGAGTACTATTTAGCAATAAAGTGTAGATGAAATATTCTTACATGTGGAATACAGGTAGTCCGCAACTTACAACTTACAATTTAGTGGCTGTTTGAAGTTACAATAGCACTGAAAAAATGATTTATGATTTTTTTACACTTACAATCATTGCGGCATTCCCATAATCATATGATCAAAATTCAGACACTTGGCAACTGACTCATTTTTATGATGATCACAGTAACCTGACAAAAAAGTCAATAGGGAAGCCAGATTCATTTGATAACTATGTTACTAACTTAACAATGGCAGTGATTCACTTAATACCTGTTGCATGAAAAGTCATAAAACTGGGCAAAACTAACTTAACAAATGTCTCATTTAGCAACAGAAATGTTTGGCTCAATTGTGATTACAAATTGAGGACTATCTGTACTTAATTTTTTCTTCCCTCTGTTTCAAAGGAAATAGATCAAGACTGATTTCAGTTTGGTGAAGTTTTACTTGGTGGCACTAGAGATAATACTGAAAGCAAAACAGTACCCAGATCATTTGGTTTTCATATTCATTGCTCCTTTCATTTAAGAAAGATAAAGTCATGTAACTTAACAATAAACCAAATGCAACTTATACAGAAATTTTTTATTTTTTATTTATCGCACATTAAAAAATGAAGCACACTATACAAATGATTTTTCATAGCAGATTACACATGTGCCCAAATCAGATTCTCTCAAAGTGCTGCCAATGCGTGTAAGTGCTGTCTGGGGAAACAGCTCTTCTTTGTATAGTCAATGTATTGATTTAAATGCAGTAGCATGCAACCTCCAGTGGGGAAGGTTTCAGATTCAATTCTGTTCTTAAATTAGATTAAATGGCATTGGTGTCCATATGTACAAACTTGAAATGTATCAATCCTGAGCAGGTCTGATGTAATTCTAGGACTGGCAGATGGTAGTCCTGGTCTTAATTATAAAAATGGAGGTCCAGACAGCAGCAGATCAACAAGTTTTATTCTCTTTCAAACTTGTTACAATTTAAGACTGACACAGACAGCTGCTACAAACTGTTAAGCCAAATAACTGTAGGTGTCCTTTTCACCATCCACCCGTTCCAAGTATTCCTTTTCTATTAGAATATCAATGCATTTCTGAAAATAGAAAGAAAAACAATTTTTCTGAGATGTTTTTGACCAATTCTAAGTGTTTAACAAGCTTTAACAATGATTTATCTAGTAAAGATACAGTGAAACAAATAAAAAAACTTTTAACCTAACATAAAAAAAATGACAGGGGGAAAGGCCAAAAGAAATAGTAACTACTAATTACCATTAATATTAACTGGTAACCATTACCTGTTCGTATCAAAAATATTAAAAAAGCAAAAGATTCATAAAGTACACATATTGCAAAAAAGGACTGAGTTTATTACCTAATAAGAATGGTAGAGAGGTTTCAAAGAGAATTGAAGTAAGTACAAGCATGGCTAAAAAGTTGAGTTTGTTTATAAAACAGTAACTACTGTTCTATGCGGTAAGGTTTAAACATAAACATGCTATTGAAGTTATTTAATTTTTTTATTGACACTGTTTAACTTATAACTTTCTCCTAATAGCTTGATTTAGTGTGATACCACTAAAGGTTAGAGACCGCTGCTTTAGACAAACCTTTATTACTGGGACTCGTGGTTTGAATCTTGATGACAGCTGGGTAAGCACTTCTCCAAGCAACTGCTGATGCTTAAGGACTTTTCTCATCTTCATAATCCTCACAATAGCAGCCTAATATACACAAAATGTAGACTTAAAACCTAATCCTTGATCAACAAATGCTATGGGAGGCTAATAATTATTTTAATCATTTTAGTCATTATTATAATCATTGAAGGTGTACAGAGGTGATTGTTATTTCAAAGATGGATGAATGCTAGCAAGTATGTCATTTGATTGTGGCCATTTCATAACAAAAATAAACAATGCTAGCTTAAATCTTGAGATGTTTAAATATATCCTATATAGATATAATAGTGTGTCTCTGGCACTCTGATATACCAATAAAACAACGTAGGGAAAACAGATTTTTTTCTGCCAGGAACAGTTCTATAAGGCCACAGAATAGCAACTTTGATCAGAATACACATGCAAATGAATTATACAAATGTCAAATTAGGTGATGCTTTGGGTCAGAGAAATAAAATTCAAATAAATTTTAAAATGGTGTAAATGGTTTAAAATGGTGCTACTATAATTTTTTTTTCATTTCTATAAATGCCCAAGGATGAAAAGATAAAAAGGGGAATGGAGAAGATTTTAAGAAGGATTCTGAAGAAGAAAGCAAACAGAACATTGTAATAAAAATTCAAACAGAACATGGATGAATCCACAACCATTCAGCCTACTAAGATTGATTATAAGCCTTTTCCAATCCATCCATACCTTAATAACCTTTAAGCACCAAGACAAAAATCTGACAGCTTCATTTGGTCAGTCAAGGGTTACAATATTCAACTGATTATCATTATTCTTACCATCAATGATCCTATTCTATGGCTTTATTAAATAAGAGCAGGAAAAGTGTCAAACCCGACAAAGGATCGCAACAAAGATATATCAGGCTTAATCTCATCTTTTCCAACATCAGCAGGAAATCACCTCAGAAAGGAGGTCCCCTACCCCAATCCCTAAAGAAGATATGATCACATGATCAATTGCCATCAAAAGAGATCAAGTAGAACAAAAAATTCACTATCCATTTCCTAGTCCTATCAAAAAAATTCCACAAGCATGATTATTTTAATTTCTGCATTGTATACAGGTTTGAAGCCCGAATGAAAATTGTCAAAATTAATTAATTATTTATTTTTTTGTTCTATTTCTATAGCTGCTCAATTCAATCAAGCAACTGAGTGGTTTACAATCCTAACATTATAAAACAAAAACAGTAAAACATCCAGAAAATAAATGCAAAGAGCAGCCAGGGTTATTACTCAGGTGCAGGTACATTTCTAAGTTTTTAAAGCAGTGGTTCTCAACCTGTGGGTTGGGACCCCATTTGGGGTCGAACGACCATTTCAAGGGGGTCGCCAAACAACGCAGTCCGCCATTTTTTTCCCCTTTTCCTTGGCTGTATTACTCCCTTTTATTCTATTGGCTTTTGAAAGCCAATAGAATAGACTCTCTTGAATAGAGTCTAATTCTATTGGCTTTCAAAAGCCAATAGGAATTGTCCAGACTGTCTCTGCCCTGCTGAGCCCGCCAAAAGTCCCATTCTGCAAACGGTGCTGCAAGTTGTCTGCAGCGAAGGTGAGCTGTCTGGAAATTTCCACCCCTCCCTGCTGAGCAACTACTAAAAATGTAAGTAAAAGAGGGCCAGGGGTGGGAGGTGGGAGGCTGGCGGGCACAGGGAGGGTTGCTGGCGCGCATGGGGCCCAGCGAGTGCCTTACCTCCCTTGGGCTGGGCCAGCTGGTAGCCCAGCCGGTGGTCGGCCTGCGCCGTCTCTGCCGCTTGCCAGCTACGCCTCGGCCGGCGCAGGGGGCGGCACCACGCATGCGCGGCGCTCCTGGGCAGGGAAAGTCCTCAACTTACGACCGGTTGGGTAGTCCTTGACTTACGACCGGTTGGGTAGTCCTCGACTTACGACCCGTTAGGGTCACGGCATTAAAAAGGTTGAGAACCACTGTTTTAAAGCCTTACAAAAGGCCAGAAGCAAGGTTGGAGCCAATCTAATCTCTGTGGGGCGAATATTCCACAAGGCAGGGGCTATCGTCTAATCTGCTGGATCAAATTGCACAGGTAGAGACTGTTGGAAAAAGTCACTCCAGTAATCTCAAGCCATGTAATGCTTAAAAGACAACTAGCACCTTGAATTGCACCCAGAATACAGCAGCAATCAGTGCAGCTCCCTGGAATAGGACCTCTATAGCATCATTCAAGGGGCCTTGACTAGAGATATAGATGGGTGTTATCTTCATATTGATATCTCGCCCCAAACACCCAGTGGCCTCATGTAGATGTTAAATAAGATTGGAGAGAGAAATGAGACTTGATCTTTCCCTCTCCATCAATATTGACTGACATCGATCCCATAGTAAGGAGGAGAACCTGCACAACACAGTGCCATTGAAACTCAACTCCTGGAGCTGGCACAGTAGAATATCACAATCCACCAGGTTTTTTTTTTTAAATGCTTCTGAGAATCAAGAAGAGTCAGGAGGATTGCACCACTTCATCCTGTTCATGCCTGAAGTTATCCACAATCAATGCTGTTTCAATTCCAAACTGTTGCCTGAACCCTGACTGAAGGAGATCCAGATAATCTACTTCATTCAGGATCCTCTGTGATTGCCCTGTGACCTTCTCTCCACAATCTTCCCTAAAAGGGGAAAATTAGAAATTGAATGAAAACTTGTTTGGTTTGAGCAATGATCCTTAAGAAGGGGGTGCACCCCCACCTCTTTTAGAGTTAGCAGGACCACTCCTTCTTTCAAGAATGAGTTAACTATAGCCCAGACCCAATCTCACATCCCCTCCCACACAGCCTTAATAAGCCAGGAAGAAATATTTTTTCCCCCAAGACATTCTGAAGCTGTAACTCTACAACTTTTTCATGACTATTGGAGACCAGTTGAAAAGTATCTAGTCACAGTTGTTTGAGGAAGAAAGCACCAGAGCCTCTTTAAGACAGCCTCCAGGATGAACTGACTGTCACTTCAACCAACTCTTACGTCATTTCCTGGGCAGTCTTAGCCAACCATGACAGATGAGAATTTAATAGACAGGTAGCCACACAGTGACAGCTCCCACCCCGAAAACACATGCACTTCTTCAAGACTCAGACATCCTAAGACAACATGGTAAAACTCCACTAGATAGGACCCAGATTGTTGGGGGCAATGTAAATATATATATACATTGCTTACTGGTGTACACCACTTAGAGAGTGCTTGCACTTAAAGCAGTATATAAGTCTCATAAAATAAATAAATAAATAAACTTGGCTGGACCAACACAAAATAAAACTAAACTTTATTCATAGGATGCTGAGAATACTATCAATATAGTCCTTCAGGTGTGCAGATAGTCAAAAGTGATATTTTGGACCAGAATTTCCATCAGAAAAGTGCAATATCATGTGCCCATACTATTTAGTGATGCAAATTCCATCAAGTCCAATTGACATCATTTAAGTGACTCCTTAGGCCTCATTAAAAACAACATGAAGTGGTTGCCATTGACTCTGCTTGTAGGAGTGATAATTACAAATTATGATTATATGACCATGAGGATACCGTTGAATCTCAGGTACACTCATTCAGTGCAAGTGCAAATATGCAGAACAAGTGGCTATTCAATGAGTACCATTTATTGTACTCGAAACATATCTCAGGCAGCATGTTGTTGTTGTTGTTAATTGCGAAGTCGTGTCCGACCCATTGCGACCCCATGGACAACGTTCCTCCAGGTCTTCCTGTCCTCTACCATCTTCTGGAGTCCATTTAAATTCACACCTACTGCTTCAGTGACTCCATCCAGCCATTTCATTCTCTGTCGTCCCCTTCTTCTATTGCCCTCAATCTTTCCCAGCATTAGGCTCTTCTCCAGTGAATCCTTCCTTCTCATTAGGTGGCCAAAGTACTTGAGTTTCAACTTCAGGATCTGGCCTTCTAAAGAGCAGTCGGGGTTGATCTCTTCTAGGACTGACCGGTTTGAACGCCTTGCAGTCCAAGGGACTCGCAGGAGTCTTCTCCAGCACCATAGTTCAAAGGCCTCAATTCTTTTGCGCTCAACCTTTCTTATGGTCCAACTTTCAGGCAGCATATATGAGGAAAACTAGAGGATCTCAAGAACCAGCCTAAATAGATCATGCCATATCAATAACCCAAATACTATATGCATATTCAAGTTATTTTCATGAAGATGATTAAATTATTTCCAAGAAAACAAGCCTGTGGATATAGCATATTTAGTATATGACTGGAAAATGAGGATTTCAATGTCCAGTTACCACACTGCTAGCGATAAAAACTTACTAAAAATAGTATTTACAGGTAAGCCTTGAGTTATGAATGTAATGGAGCCTGCCCATTCCATTCCTGACTCAAGGATTCGTAGGAGTGAATGGCATATCTTGAACGCGATCATTCCCTGCTTTTGCCCACACTAATCGAATGCATAATTCATTAAGCACATGAGGTATTCCAGGATGGGGAAGGCTATGGCGGGCCTAGTGATGGAACAGGCTACCTACATCCAAGGCCTCCCCTGACACAATAAGATACCTATGCTCCGCACAATTGGTTCCCCTCCCCATCCTGCTACACTGGGTCACGTACCTTGTGAAGATTTACCGAGCTGTCTCCTCTCCAGCTTGTCTGCCACACAAGATCACAGTGCCCAGCAGCTTTCACTTTAAGCGCAAAATGTTTGCAAGCTGATGGGAGACTTTGGGTCAGCGAAATCGCTGCCTCAACACATCTGGCCAGTTTGCAAACACTCTGGAAGCTCTTGAGGGGGCATGATATCATGTGACTTCAGGCTTCCAGTCTCCATGCAAATGTGCTTGAGAAGAGGCCTTTGCTGACGAAAACGCAGCCCCAGATTTATGTGTGCATTGCTCCCAGCCTCTGGCTTTGAGGAAAAGCCTTTGCCGGAGATGACGCGTGTCTCAACCTGGGAATCGTTCTTGGCAGCAGAGGCCTTTTGCAATGATGGCAAAAGGCCTAGCAAATGGAGGGAAGGCTTCAATGTTTCACGTCTTTTCTCCATTTGCAAAGTGTTTTGCCACAGATCTCATCTAGGCCTGTTTGCAGAGAACAGAGGTCTAAAATACCATGAGATCATGCAACCTCAGTAGCATGAAATCTCATGCTATTGATCTCATGTGATCTTATGGTACTTTAGGCCTCCATTCTCTTGGACACACCAAAGGCCTGAAGCAGCAAAGCAGGCCAAGAAACAAAGACTCCCTAGATCTTCGCAAGGAGAGCATCCACAGACCTAGTGCCTAAGGAGACCCAGCCAAGGGGAGGGGGGGAGGGAATAGCCAGGGCGAATGTTGCAGTGCCTCTGCAGTCATTCATAAGGGTGAAAGAGTGCTATGATGCTGCAACATTTGTAATTTTGGGACTTGTTCGTAAACACTAGGGGGTGCTTACTGCATAACTTTGAATGTTTGCTAAGGGAACATTTGTAACTTGGGGATTACCTGTACTATTGTGGAAAAAATTGTGTTTAACAGCACTATTAAATAATCTGCTAGCCACCTAAAATTCCCGAGTACCTGGATCAGGAGTTTCCTATCTTCCTCTATATTTTTGTGTGTTGTTTCCTGTTCCTGCTTTTGTTCAGTCTTCATTGGCACATTTATATTCACTCGCAATTTTTTGCTGCCAAGAAAATTTAGGCAAATAATTAGCTCTACAAAACAGAAATGAAGAATTCACCCTATGGTGAAACATGTTGTGAAAGGCAACATAATTAATTTAATGAAGGCAGGAGTCTTTTTTCTGTTGAGTGCTGCACTGGGTAATCCATAATTATATCTTTTCTTATTTCTCAGAAGGCTTAAATTTAATGCTTGCAAACAGGATATCTTAAAATTGGACTGTGACCTATCCATTGTTTAAACTCCTATTTTTTCCTAAGCATCTTTTTAAAAACACAAAATAAGCATACTAATCAACAGAGCTTTAAAAACAATATCTCAATTGTATCTTTCTTAAATTGTCAGTCTGTGCTGTTTCCACTGTGACCAGATTCATTCCATCAGTTTCAACTGAAACAAATATTTCCAACAAACATATGTACTGATAGCAATCTTTATGGTATCTAGTAAATTAAAAGTTATTTTGAATGCCAATTATATACAAATTAAACCAGTCATAACCATTGAATTATCTAAAAATACTGCCTTCAGATGTAGGTTTCAAAAAGTTACAGTTACATTTATTTTATTCATGTGTTTTAGTTTGGTGCTATTTAGTTGGCCTTAACTCTAACTTAAAGCCTATCTCCAGGCTCTCAATTAAAAGGCATCCATCTTTTTTCCTGGGATATAAGCTTCCACAGCCATAGATTACCATTCATATTTGTGCATACATTTTGATTATTATGATTTTTGTCATAAAAATGGCCTTATCCTTCAGAATCTTATCCCAACTTGTGATCACTTTCCTCTATAATCAACTTTTATAGAGATGATAAAGAAGAATGTTTATTTCTTCAATACATTATCAATCTTCATTAGTGAAGAAACTAAAAGCTTGACTTCTTGGTTCTCAGCAGTACCTTTATTAAGTTTGCAGGTTGATATTTAATAGTATACCAATTTTTTTCACTTTTACTGTGCTAATTTTCACTGTCTCTTTTATTTTTAGTTGACAAGGACTATTTTGTATTAGTATATACAAGTTAGTATTACATTTAGTGTGTTTTCTAATCCTGCTACTCTCATATTTAGTCTATAGTGTTATCTTGCTATTTTCAAAACAGGATATACAACTGCTCTCTTCATTTATACCTCTTCTGTTACCTGACTGATCTCCTGCCTTTTTATTTTTTCTGAAAGCTGCCTGTTAATCTGGCATTTCTCTATCATGTAAGTATATTAAGCAAAATGGTTTGTGAAGAATTTCAATGATTCAGTGACATTTTCTTGTATGTTACTCAAACCTTTGCAATCTTTATTCATATAAAGCAGTTATCATGAACTGATTTTAATCCAATGGGAATTTCAAGTTCATCTCATGCACGTCCTATTCTGACTTCAATTTTCAGTATGCGGCTGACAAGTCCATTTTGCTAATCCATGATTATTTTATAATTTGTATATATAATTTCCGCATCCAGAAACTACTGCAGTTTTAATTTATGTTTTTTTAGGAAATGTAAAATTTGGCTACTATGGAAACATGACAGGGATTCTAGACTTGATTTACATTGAAGAACAGCATCACAAGTTATTTATTAATAAACTTTCAAAAAGCCAAGATCTAATCCTAGTCAGTTTCTATTAATTTGCAGTGTGAACAAAACTGATACAGAATTGTGAGGCTTTGGCTGGAACAGTAATCTGACAGAAAGGCAAATGTGCTATTTCAATCATTAATAAATACAGACTATTCTGACCGTATAGCTCTATGGACCATACAACTCTATGTAACCCTAACTAGTGAGCATGTATCAGTATGTTAGAATATCTGGCAGTTATTAGGTTAAATGCTAGGTATGTTGATGGGTCAGTGGGAGGAGTCTCAAAGGTCATTGGGAGACTTCCTGGACACAAGCTAGATGGGAATGTCTTTGTCTACAAGAAGCATGGGCCATCAGATGTCACCATGATGAGCCTGCGCCGTTATAAAGATGGTATGGAAAAGAGCATCATTCATTTACCTGTGGGAATGACGTACAAAAGATGTAATTTCCAGAAGTAGCAACACACTATGTATGCAAATGAACTTTCTGTTTGAAATAGAACCGAGTTGTCTATCTGACTTGATTTAAAGAAGGCGCTTTTAACTCAGAGTCAGAATACAGACCTTTACTATCCTAAAGAAAAACAATTCTGACTAGGTAGTTTTATTCAACTATCATTCTTACTTTTTGTAGCCAAGGTACAATTTTATTAAAGTATCTGGTTTCAGTTCCACTTCATCAACATTTGCATTTTCATCTTCTAAAACCTATGAAAAATAAAAAAGAGCAATGTCAGAACATATTAACAAATTATTTCACCACTCTCCCAAAATAAAAGCACTTACCAACAATTTTGACTTTAACAAAATCTGAAGTACTTGTGCCAAAATATCCTAAAAATCAGAAAAGTAAAAAAAAAAAACCTGAGTTAATCAATGCCTAATTCGTTCCCTAGTTAATAAGCTTTGCAGAGGATAGTGAAGAACATATACAATCACTGCATTTAGTTTAAACTGCATTTAAACAGAAATATACTCAGCAGATTGGCTGAATTTAATATTAAGAGAAGTGAAATTGTGCTGTATGATATTTAAAATTTTCTAGACATGAGAAAAAAAATCAAGGATTTTTTGACAGATACTAAAATTCTATTCTACTGACTGGGAATCCACCCAAATGCCTTTATTTATAATAATTTTTCTGGATGTTAGTCATAATTATCATTTGTAAACTAAAATTCAAACATAAAGACTCAAAATCTGTTTCACATTTAAATTTGAAAGCAAATTTATTGTTATTATGGATGAAAAGACTGGAAGGAATATAGAACTTTATTATTATTATTTTTAAGATTACATTAATGAGGCAACATGCACAGATATGAAAGAAATGTAAAACTTAATAATAAAAGAGTGGATTGGGAAAATGAATTGATTGAGATATTGGAACTGACTACTTTGGTTATTTTAAGATTTTGTTTCAGTTTATTTTTAAACTGGATATTATTTTTTTAATCTTGGTTGATAATAATGGATACGTATTTTCGAATTAATGATTGAATAATTAAATTTGTTTAAAAGGAGAGAAGATCAAGGATGTCATGACGAGATGGGTGGAAGAAACCGGCTTCTTAGCCTGATTTCGCTCTGTCTAGAGACCCCAAGGGGCCAGAAAGTTGCCCTTAAGAGGCAACAAAGAAGGGAAGCTTTGGGAGTTTGGACCAGATGGCAGTTGGTCTCAACCTTGGCTCTTTTATGACTCGTGGACTTCAACTCCCAGAATTGAAAAATGAGTTCACCAAATCTCATTAAATTTATGAAAAAAACTTTCTCTGCACCTTCTATTATTGGAACACCTAGTCCAGCAAGCCAGGGATCTACTGAAACAATGATGCAGCAGGAAAAAACAAATAGTGCTCAAAGAGAAATGCAAGCCACATTACAGTTAATTAATGAATCAATATAGAAAAATCATGAGGAGACAAAAACCAATTTTGACGTTAAATGAGCAAATGCTGGATATAAAGGCACAATTTGATGCCCATCACCACCAAATGATTGCTAAAAATGAACAAAGAATTCAGAAAATGGAAAATAAATCAGAAGAAACTGATAAAAAATGGAGGCATTAATGCAAGATAATGAAAGATTAGAACAGGCAAACCAAAGTTTAGAAGGAACAGTTGCAACCTTGGAAATGGAAAAAGCTGTACACTACTTAAGATTCCAAAATATACCTGAAGACGAAAAAGATATAGCAGAAGTGATTATTAATCTATTGATGGAGGTCCTAAAAATAGAAAAGAGCGGAGATACAAATGGAAATAGATGAATTATTTCGAATTAATTCAAGCTCTGTGAGCAAATATAAATTATCCAGAGAAGTCCATGTAAGATTTATAAAGAAAACAATAAGAGATACTGAGAAGAGTCAGAGATGAACTATTAAAAAATAAAGAAATTGTGGTGTTGAAGCAGATCCCTAAGAGAATAAGAGATACCCAAAGACAGTATCACTTTTTGACCACAACATTAATTGCCAAAGGAATAAAGTTTAGATGGTTAATACCAGAAGGGATCTTAATCAACTGGAATAATACAAGATATCGACTGGATTCAGTTTGGAAGGCAGAAGATTTTGATGAAAGAAACAGAGCATTCCTGGATGAAAAAGTACAACATCAACAAGAGGATAGAAAAGAACAAAAGCAGATAGAACAAACAACAGAGGAAACAGCTATACAAATTGAAGGAGAGAAAGAGAAGCCAGACCATGAGGGTGAGAATAGAGGACCACGAGATCGACAAGACCTAAATATAAGTAAACAAAATGGAGAAAGAAAATGGAATCTTTTCAGTGAATATAAATGGACTAAACTTTCCATCAAAAAGCAACAAAATCTTTAAAAAATTACAGAAATTAAATATTGATATAATTTGTTTGCAAGAGACACATATAAAAAAACCAATGCTACAAACTTTTGAACTATCCAAAAATTGGGAAACTCTATTATGCATCAGCACACACACAAAAAAAGAGTAGCTGTATACGTTGAAGAGACAATAGACTCCAAAATGATTTATTCAGATGATGAAGGAAGAATTGTGATGGTAGAAATAATTTTACATCAAAAACAAATACTTTTAGTAGTAATATATGTACCAAATAATAAACAAGAAGAATTTTATCAAAATCTTCATAGAAAAATAATAGAAATGGAATACCAAAATATTTGTCTAGTAGGAGACTTTAATGCAATAGTAGATGGGACATTAGACTATAAAAGTGGCAAAACAGGAAAAAGTAGAAGAAAAAGATTACCTAAGACTTTTTTTTAATATGATAGAGGAAACTGGGGTAAAAGATACCTGAAAAGAAACTAACCCAGAAAAACTACAATACACATTCTATTCGAACAGTCATAAATCCTGTCTAGAATTAGTCATAAATCCTGTCATAAATCCTGTCTAGAACATGATTTGGATGATGCCTGAATTAAGAACCAATATGCAGGAGATTGAGACACAATTAGGTACATGGGCAGATCATAATCCTTTAAAGATGACATGGAAAGGAATACAAAAAAACAAAAAAAAACCAAAAATGGACCTTGAACAAATCCATATTAAAAGAAAAAGAACTTATAGAACTAGCAACAAGAGTTCTTTTTTAAAGAAAATAAAAAAGAAGATACAATATTACAAAATGTATGGGATACAGCCAAAGCATACTTTAGAGGTGTAGCTATAACATATATGGCAAAAAACAAAGAAAAAAGACAACAACACATACTGCCAAGGGAAGAATTTAAAAATTAGAATTAGAATTACAAATAAATCCACAAAAGAAAATATTGAAAAAACAAATGGAAACAATAAAATATAAATTAAATTTAATGCAATCAGAAAAATTGGCTTAGCAAATTAAAAGAGCAAAACAATTTTTTTTTGAAAATGCAAATAAACAGGAGAAAAAACTGATAAATAATCTAGTAGATGAAAAAGCTGTTTACAATTTTAAAATGAAGAAATAAAAAAGATGATTAAAGAATACTATGAAAAAATGTATGATATAGAAGAAATTTCATGGGAGAAAACGGTTCAATATATGGAAAAAAATAACTTACCAAAATTTTCAGAAAACTTTAAAACTATGTTAAATAAAAAAATAACAAAGATGGAATTGACAGAAGCTATAAGAAGACAAAAAAATGAAAAAACACCAGGACCAGATGGGCTATCAGCAGAGTTGTATAAATGCCTACAAGATACATTAAGTATGCCATTGTAAAAAATTACAAACCAATATCATTACTAAATGTGGGTTATAAAATTTTTACTTCAATAATAGCGGGGAGACTGAAAAGATTTTTAACTGAATGTATACATCCAGATCAAAATGGATTTCTATCAAAGAGACAAATTAAAAATAACTTAAGAGTTATAATGGACATATTGGAATATTATGAAATACATCCTGGGAAACAACTGGCACTAGTATTCTTAGATGTTCAAAAGGTGTTTGATAATGTTTCCTGGCAATTTATGACTCAACAACTAAAAACAATGGACTTTGGACAAAACTTTATAAATATGATTGAAACAATATATACAAACAAACAGCAAAATTAATTGTAAACGGAGACTATACAGAGACCTTTTAGATATGAAAAGGTACAAGACAAGGATGGCCACTATCTCCATTGTTATTTATCCTAACCTTGGAAGTTCTAAATAGAAATATTAGCAAGATACAGAAACTAAAGGACTAGAAATAAAAGGTGAAACTTATAAACTGCAAGCATTTGCAGATGACTTGGTATTTATCTTAGAAGAACCTTTAGAAATGATTCCTAAATTATTGGAAAAGATAGAAGAGTATGGAGACATAGCAGGACTGAAAATAAACAGAGAAAAAACTAAAGTGATAGTGAAAAATCTTACAGATAAAAAAAAACAAATGTCAGAAAAAATGGAACTACAAATAGTCAAAAAGGTTAAATACTTAGAAATATAGATGTTCAACAATAAAAGAAGATAACTATATAAGATTACTGAACCAAATAAGACTGGATCTGGAAAAATGGAAAAACTTGCAACTGTCAATGTTAGAAGAACTGCTACGGTAAAAATGAATATATTACCAAAAATATTGTTTCTATTTCAAACGATACCTATAAAATTAGAGAATTTTTTTTTTAAGATTTAAATTCACTAATTTTGAAATTTATTTGGCAAGGAAAGAAAGCTAGAATTAAATTGAAAATGCTACCAGAAGCTAAGGAAAATGGAGGTTCTGGTTTGCCAGAGTGGGTTTTATATTATCAAGCATCTATACTAATATGAGTAAAATAATGAATAACTCTTAGAAATAAAGGGTTATTATATTTGGAGGGACATGATTTACAACTTGTGTGGCATGCTTTCTTATGGTATGGGAAAAACAAAATTCATAAGTATTTTCAAAACCATATATAAGAAATGCATTACAACTAACATGGAAAAAAATAAAATGTAAAATATACTTGAAAATTCCAGGATGGCTTTCAACAATGGAAGATTTGTACATCCAAATTTAGTTAATTTCGAGAAAATATGGACATAGAGATATTCTAAATTCTGAAGGGAATTTAAAATCTAAACAAGAGATGGAAAATCAGGGTATGGATCTATCATGGTGGGCAAACTTACAAATGATAAAGATGTTAAACTATACTGATTTTATAAAGAGCAGACCTTGTTTGATCAGACATTATTAACCTCTGAGAAACGAATAAAAAAATCTTTAACTTTTTATTGAATTTGAAAATGGAAAATGAATATGTTAAAGATACAATGATAACATGGGCAAAGAATTTTGGATATAATGTAGATTTAGAAAAATGGCAAAATTTGTGGGAAAGTAATTATAAATTGACAATGTCAACTTCTTATAAAGAAAACCTATATAAAATGTTTTATAGATGACACTTGCCACCAGCAAGATTAGCAAAAATGTTTAAAAATATGTCAGATAGATGCTGGAAATGTAAACATGTCAGGTACTTATTATCATATATGGTGGACATGTGTTAAAGCAAAAAGGTACTGGATAAAATATATACTTGGCTAGAGAAGATGTTGGGAACTTTTTTTACTAGGTATAATGCCAGAAAAGATTGATAAACAAAGTATATACTTGGTTTTATATATGATAACAGTGGCAAGAATCATATTTACACTTTATTGGAAAAATGAAGAAATACTACCAGAGGAAGAAATAATTAAAAAATACTAGAATGTGTGGAAATGGACAGACTTACTATGAGGTTGAAAGAAAAAGAAGAAACAGAATACTTTCAAACTTGGGAATTATTTTATCAATGGCTGGAGAAAAGAATAAAGAATTAGGAATTAAATTTGTATTAGTGAATGATAAACTCAGACAATACGTTTGTTGAATAAATACTATTGAATTGTATGGGAAAAAAATAATAAAAACTTCACAAGAAAAAAAATAAATTTGTTTAAGAGAAATATTGTACAGTTAGAGTTAATATCAGTTATGTTATATTTAACTTAGAGAAAGAAATTATTTGATATTAGTTTTCCTATTGGTATCGAGGAAAATTGGAAGTCTATTATATTTATTTTATTACTCTGCCTCTTTTTTCCTTCACTTTTTAACTTTTCCCCCTTTTGATTCTCTTTCATACCTTTTCTTTTGTATTTTTTTTAATTTAATAAAGTAGTTTAAAAAAGAATTGGAAAAATTGAAAATATTTGTGCTCATTACAATTCTACACTTAAAGAAGAAATAAATGGATGTAGTAAGTGGGACAATAAAGACTCCTCAATAATTAAAACTATAATAACATGATATGAAGCTTTACCATTTTTATTTGAGTACTGTCTGTCAGCTGCTGGACTGTGTAGGCATCTTCTGTGTTATACTGCAGCAGGATTGCCATCTGAAATGTAGATGCCTTAAAAAAGCGAGAAATAACTTTTATTTGAATGACTTTCCAAATTCATGTGAAGAAATTTATCAAAGCAAATAGAACAATATAAAACCTTATCTTTCAGACCAAAGAATTCTTTCTGTATTGTCTGCTATTTTACATAATCTGAAAAATATCTATTAATCAGATTTTCAATAGACAAATCCTGCATGTCCAATGAATGTTCAGATTACATAACCAAGAAAAAAGCAAAAATGAAGAGACTAAGATATTTGAGTGCTAAATACATACAGTACATTCAGAAAGTATTCAAACCCCCTTCACTTTTGTTAATTTTGTTATGTTGCAGCCTGATTCTACAGCTGTTGAAATTCATTTTTTGTATTAATCTACACTTAGTACCCCATAATGACAAAATGAAAATAGAATTTTAGAAATGTCTGTAAATTTATTAAAAAGAAAAAACTGAAATAACACCTTGGCATTCAGACTCAGTACTTCGTTGAAGCACCTTTGGCAGCAATCACAGCCTCGAGTCTTTTTGGGTATGATGCAACAGGCTTTGCATGCCTGGATTGGGGGATTTTCTGCCATTCTTCCTTGCAAATCCTCTCAAGCTCAGTCAGGTTGGATGGTGAATGTTAGTGGACAGACATTTTCAGGTCCCTCCGGAGATGTTCAATAGGGTTCAAGTCAGGGCTCTGGCTGGACCACTCTAGGACATTCACAGAGTTATCCCTAAGCCACTTCTCTTTTGTCTTGCCTATGTTCTTAGGATCATTGTCATGTTGGAAGGTAAATCTTCGGCCCAGTCTGAGGTCCTGAGCATTTAGAACAGGTTTTCATTGATGATATCCCTGTAATTTTCTCTATTCAGCTTTCCTTCAACTCTGATCATTCTCCTAGTCCAAACTGTTGAAAAACACCCCCACATCATGATACTGCCACAACCATGCTTCACTGTTGGGATGATATTGGACAGGTGATGAGTGATGTTTGGTTTCTTCCAGACATAACGTTTAGAATTGAGGCCAAGTTCAATCTTGGTTTCATCAGACCAGAGAATCTTGTTTTTCACAGTCTGAGAGTCCTTCAGGTGCTTTTTTGCAAACTCCAAGCAGACTTTCATGTGTTTTGCACTGAGGAGAGTCTTCTGTCTAGTCACTCTGCCATAAAGCCCAGATCAGTGGAGGGCTGCAGTGATGGTTGTCCTTCTGGAACTCTTTCCCATCTCCACACAGGATCTCTGGGACTCAGTAAGAGTGACCATCAGGTTCTTGGTCACCTCTCTTTCTAAGGCCCTTCTCACCTGATTGCTCAGTTTGACCTGGCAACTAGCTCTTGGAGAGTCCTGGTTCTGCCAATCTTCGTCCATTTGAGAATTATGGAGGCCATGTGCTCTTAGGAACCTTCAGTGCAGCAAAAATTTTATTGTAGCCTTGCCCAGATTTGTGCCTCACAATAATCCTGTCTATGAGGTATGCAGGCTTTATGGCTTTTGCTCTGCTATAGTATGAATTTTCATCTGAGAGGCCTTCTATAGAGAGGTGTGTGCCTTTCCAAATCATGCCCAATCAATTTAATTTATGACAGGTCGACTCCAATCAAGGTGTAGAAATATGTCAGCAATGATCAAGAGAAATGGGAGCCATCTGAGCTAAATTCCAAATGTTGTTGCAAAAAGTCTGAATACTTATGCCAATGTGGTATTTCAGTTTTTTTTCTTTAATAAATTTACAGACATTTCTAAAATTCTGTTTTCACATTGTCATTATGGGGTACTGAGTGTAGATTAACAAGAAAGAAATAAAATTTCAAAAACTGTAGAATCAGGTTGCAGCGTAACAAAATTGACAAAAATGAAGGGGGTCTGAATACTTTCTGAACATACTGTACACATGCACACTATTCAAGGAATTTTATCTATAAGTGGCTTATTTACAACTGAAAATATATATACTTATGATTACATTATTAATATGAATATTAATATTAGTATATATTAGCAGCATATTTTGTGTGCTTATTTAAACATATATTAAGAAGGCAAATAACATACATAGAGGGGGATGAGGGGAGTTTTAGAACTCTAATATGTAGCATAGAAATGTGTCTACATGTGAGCCATAACATTTGTTCCATGCATTATGCCTTCCCCTCCTGCATTTTTCTAAAGGATTACTAAAAGATAGAAATATTAGCAAAATTTCCAAATTCAAGATATGGTGCCAGAAAAAAACATTATTAACATTCTACTTGAATAGCTTGTTAACCAAACTACAGTGTACTTTACCTGTAGTGTATATCGGTTTTTGAAGCAATTGGTAACTAGTTCACCTTTCGATAGCTGATACAACCATGTTAATTTTCTTCCACTGTGACGACTTGCATAGAAAGCAGTAAATCTCTGATAACTGCGCTCCAGCTGCATTTCAAATCAAATCAAACCAAACCATATCATATTTACATTTTCAGTCTTAAGCATAATACAAAAACGGAGTCAATAATTGGAGCCAATTATTGTTGATGTTATTCAGCCAAGTTTGTCAAAAAAATTGGTGCCGGTTAATCTACCTCAACATGAACTGGCTATGAGGAGACTCAAGCTGAGTATGTATCTTTTGAGGACAAAGCATGCTGTCTACAATAGATTGTAGACTTAATTCCTAAACAAAAACCAGCACTTTGATGGTTTCTTTTCTTCAGTCACTGACTATCATAAAATCCATTACTGAGTCTAGCGTAGTCCAGTGTTGCATAATACTATTTGATATAGATGACATAAAACAGACTGTCATCAGTATATGAAAAACATTAAATTTAACATGAAATGGGCGTTTCATCCTCAAAAAGCCTAACAATACTGAATGAAGGCATTGTGTAGTAACTCCATGATTATCATGGCAGCTATCGTATTTATTGGATTTAAAATCCAATATGAACAAGTTCCATAAATAAGATTTACAATCAGCAACTAAAACCATCAGAAAAAAGCTGCACCTCACCTTGTTCCTTATTTCCTAAAGCTTAGCAGAAGACCATCATCTTGACCACTTTCCAGAAACTTAATAGAGAGGGAGACAAACTACTCATAAGGTTAGGACAACTGCAAAGAAGGCTTATGTTGGGACCGATAACCTTCTGATCTATTCTGGGAGGGAGATCTTTAGCATATTGCTTAATCATGTGTACAGGCATATTGTATTAGGAGGTGTTGATTCTATAGCTTCTAGGACTAGATATATTACTTTGTAGGACTATGCTTGAAACCACACAATCAGCTTAGATGGAGTGGAAAGTACACCTGGAGAATGTCCAAACTATCTCTCTGACTCAACATAAAATAAAGAGTAACAGAAAAAAAAGTAGTCAGCATCACTGGTTTGCTGTGAAAGATAGATTTGTGAATGACAATAGGTACAAGCAGAAAAAGATGGGTGAGTCCTAGCTGGACAATCAGGATCCCCCCCCCCTCTCTCTCAAAAAAAGAATAAAATTATGCTGATATCTATTGACAAAATCAATAAATCCATCCTTCAAATAAATCCATCCAGAATTTACAGACTATTAACGTGATGAGATGGGACTAAATAGAGCTCACTGTACTAAGAACTAAGTATGTGAACTTAGTATGTGTATGTCACAAATTAAAAATTAAATAAGACTTAAAAGACATTGCTAGATTTAATGCCTCAACCAGATTCTACTTTGCCATCAGCCTTCCAGAATATTACAATCTCCCTATATCTTAAAATATACACTTAGAAAGTAAGATGGTCTCACCTCTGATGGAAGAGCAAATGCACAAGACATTTGAAAGGGCCAAGATCCGGAGCTTAGTACTTGTATGCTGAAGTCCACTAGTATAAAAACATGAACAGTCACTAATTTTATTTCAGTCACTGACCAACAAAACAGATTTATATGCTATGCTGAAAATGTTATATAAAAATGAAAGCGAAAAGGAGAGTCTATTGTTTTCAGAGATTCATACAAGATATTGGAGAAAACTGCGTAGAAATAATTTCAAACACAAGAGTAATTGAAGTAAATTACAAATATCTGAGATTTCCTAACTGGAGGCCAGGTATAAAACCATTTAAAAATTAATAGACTTCCAAGTTAAAAATTTTATCATGAATATTAGAACAGTCTTGCACTTAAAACTCCATTCTTGGATTCTAATCACTCCTCTCACCCCAATCTTCTTCTTTTTTCTCAGCAGTATAATTACTGATAAGACAGTTTCTAAAAATTGAAGTTGGAATCTCTTGTAGTTCAGGGCAAATCACCTAAAGTTATACATAGTCTTGTCTTATAGAACAAAAATTTGCTGTACTTTTTGACCCTTTTCACTGCTTGCAGTATAAATTGTGTCCTAAAACCCTTCTTATATTGACCCATTTTTTAAACAAATTTTCTTTTGCCATGCCCACTTTGATCCCTTATTTTGGTTTTGGAGAGTTACCTTACTGATAGATAGAATCCTAAATCCATTTATATAATTTATGTCCAATATTGCATTGATTAATAAGGAATAAAAAAGGAAGACTTCCTTCATTAACATACTTTTCACTTTCACCAATCTATAAAAATGTATATTAATTTATAGGTTTGAAAACAAATACATTTTAATTTTGCTTACAGTCCAATGGCTCTGAATTGGATAGGTGTTTTTTGAACTGCTCATTCAGGTCTTTGCTTACACCTATATCTTGGAACATCCTTTGAAGTTTGGATGTATACTCAAAGCCACAAGCTTGCTGTAATGAATCAGAGAAAATTATGAAATTATACATTTTGAGAGAAAGTAATGCATACATTACAGAAAGATCTCATCTATAAATCCTCTAATACACCGTAAACAGTATAACAATAATAAATACTTATGTTAGAGCTTCAGTGTGACCAAAATAAACAAATTGAATTTTCTAGCAATTTAATTATTTTTAGCATCTGAGTGCAGAAAATTTCCAGTCTTGATCTGCATACTAAAAGTCAATCTAAATTTATCATTTAATTTCTTCTATGGTATACAAATTCTGTAGCTGCAGCTTGCAATTCCTTATAAACTGGTTTACTTTAAATTATTATAATTATTGGATTATTTAAAATAATAGATTTATGGGCTTCCGATTCTGTGCAGCTAACGCCCTAGCTGAGGGATCGCAAAGATCTGCGTCCTATGGCTGATTTCTCTCTGTTTGGAGACCCTAAATGGGCCCAATGCCACCCCAGAGAGGTGACAAGGAAGGAGGGAAGCCCTGCTGATCCTGGGGAGACGGTGATTGATCCGGACGTCTGGGGAAAGTTCTCCAAAAATCGACAGAAGAAAGGCTAGCATCATTCGTGAGTCTAACCCAAGCTATATGCAGCAGAAGCCAAAAAGCACTAAACTAAGCATGATTGTAAACAGCGTGAGCAACTGGGTAAGAATATTGATTCTCTCTCTTCTATCAGACTGATTTCCTCGAAAAAAAAGGGAAAGCCCCCAGAAGTAAAAATCCTCCAAAAGTAGAGGGGGATATCTTTGTTCCACCCTTCTGTAAACGGAAGCAATGAGTTAAGTTTACTGTGGGGGGGAAATACAGAAAATTGAAAGATGGATTGGTGCTGACTTGTAGTGATGGATGAAAATACTGCCCTAAATATACAGCCCAGAAAGAAAAACCTGTTGTGACCTTCAGAACTTTGTAACAAAAGAAAAGAAAACATTGTGGACTATATACAAAGTGAGAACTATAAAACTTAGAAAAAAATTGACCTTCCTGGATTATAAATATTTTTTAAATTGTGACTTTAAAGTGATTGGCGGAAAAGGATTTTTGGTCATTATGGAGCATCAAATATCTGCAGAAAGAACATATCAAGAAAAAATAAATACTTACCAGGAGGAAATGTATGTTCTGTTACAACAAATGCAAATGAAAAATGCATTTGAAAATTTAAATGAATCCATTTTTAATTTAACGTCACAACAATTAAATGATCAGAAAACAAAAAGAGAGAGAGAAATCATGTAAAGCAGACAACTAAATATAAACTAGTGGAGACTCAAGTGGAGATGGACTTACAAAAAACATTGAACATGGAAAAGGTCATTTGTACTGTAATACCACAAAGTAAATTTGAGGATAAGGAAAAAGATTTGCCAAATGGATTGCTGAGCTGTTGGGAGTACCATAAGAAATGGGGAGACAAGGGGTGATGAGAGAAATCTTCAATGAATGTGAAGGGGCAAAATCTTTTTACAAAGACATGATGTTTGATTTGCCTACTATATCCAGAACATTTACAAGATTATGGAAAGACTCTTTAATTCAACGGAATATGTTGATTAGGAAAGATGCTTGGCAAAAGAAGAGGGCTAAAGTGAGAATTGAGGAATTAGATGATGGGGTGTATGAGAGGGAATATTAAAAATTAAACATGAATATGGTTGAAGAAATAGAAAGATTTTAGTTTAAGAGGGATGAACTCTCCAAGTAAGACAGTATTTTTTCTTTTCTCTTTTTTATTTTGTTTTTTGATATGAGAAATACAAAAATATTTGGGATGATCAATATAAAGGAAATGTTTTAGATATTTAAATGTAATTGATTTTAAGAAAATTCCAATGGATAACTAAAAAGGAAAAAAAATGTTTGGAATAGAGTAAAAAGACTAGATGATTGGATTAATTAAATGAAACATTTAAAGATTAAACATAGGTTTAATTATGGGTAAAAAGAACAGGAAAAATGGGAATAAGTGTATACTAGTTCAAGTGGGATGTGTATTTTAAGTAATATATTATTTTCTTATTTTTCTCTCTCTTTTTTTCTTTTTCTCTCTCTCGTCTTTTCTTTTGTGTCTTTTTCTTACTTACTTTTAAAGATATGAAAATGGATTTAAATACTTTAAGGTAATTAACTCTGGGAATATTTTAACTGGTAAGAATGTTTTGAACATTGTAGAGAAAATAAATTTAAATAAATATTGTAAACAGGATTCATGACGAGGCAACCAAGATGACCTGATAGAAAAGAAGCATGATATTGATATGATTATTATTGGTAGAAATTTTAGAAAAATATTTATATTTAATTGTTATCTATAAAATTAATAAGAATTGTATTAATTTAAGGTTGCAAAGAGAATACTATTGGAAGAAGAGAATATCAAGCAAAGCTATAATGTGGACTTTGGAATACAGAAACTGACTGTTAGTGATTACTTTGTAAACCCAGTTAACATGCTGTTTACCAAATATTAAGGTGTTTATGTTAAAAAATCAATAAAATATATTTTTTTAAAATAAAATAAAATAATAGATTCATGGAAAAATTACAACCAAAGCTCCATAAAAATAATTATTTTAAATCACCCATTCACTTGTGGCAATTTAAAAGCTCACTAAAAATAAAAAGAAATTATCAAATGGTTGTTGTTTACTGTCTTTCATAAGCAAGTAAACATATGCACTTTTAAATTCTGTGTAGAATCAATGCTCAAAAACATTTTAAAGCAACAAAGTTCTGCTTTAAGAGATTTTTGAGAACTAATGATAGTTACAAACTGATCTAAATAGATTAATATTCATATTTCATATACAGCTGTTCTGAATAAAACTTCACCTATAAAAAACAAAACCTTGGATTCTCAAATTCTGGTGTAATCATTTAATTACATGATTTCATGTGAACAAATAACTATTTCTGTAAAGTTCAAAACTGTCCAGCTTAAAAATCTGAATATTATCAAGATAAAAAATTATTTAGCTTAGGAATGCTTGAAAATAAATGTTTATTATGGGCAATAGTAAACAATTTTAAATCAATTTCTTGGACTGGGAGATAGATTAAACATGAGATGATGATGATGATAATAATGATGATGATGATGATGATGATGATAATAATAATAATAATAATAGGAAATCATTTAAAATATAATATTTATTTAGTTACCCGATTTTTTCAGATATTTTCAGTCAGTACATACATATTTATATAGTTTATGACTATCATTATACAATGAGGTTCTGGCAAATATGAGCAATAAAAGAAACATAAACAAAAGGGAAACACACCTTTAGTTTGGAGATCATACTTGCTTCAGCATCATCGCTAGCACTGTTCTGGTGTACCAGTCTCTTTGCCAGCATTTTGGCATAGAATTTTTGAAATACATCTTTGTCTTCAATATATTTGAAGACCACCATCTAGAAGCATTAATTTTTGGTATTTATTTTTAGAACAAGACTTTTATAGCCAACTTCATATTTATCTAAGCAAAAGATAATTATTTTATATATTTTATAAAATATTTTATATATTTTGTTTAACACAAAAATAACTATATATTTGAAATAACTATATATTTTTAAGCAATCTAAAAACATACCTCCTGCTTCAAATAATAATCAACTAAGAGTAATGTGGATTTCCAACAATATTTCCAGTAATAACTATTACATAAAAATAAGTGCTTTAATTATAGAAACAAGAAGGATATATAGCAAGTTATTCTCCTTTAGTCCACCTCCAATTATCATTGTGAATCAATTTCCAAAAATATGCATAATTATGCATACATAATTATACATAAACTTACCACTTGATTAAGTGTATCTTCAAGTTCAGCTTCCTCTGGATTCTTTGAGCTGCAGTCAAAAAGGCATTAATATTGTTATAATCCAGCAACATTATTTCAAATATATATAGCATTATTTTATAAGAGCAGTTTTTTCCAGAACCTGTGGTCGCCAACGAAAAGTTTTCTTATTTGATTTAAAACCAGATAAAAGTCATTACACTCCTTTGATTCTTAGTAAATTGCTCTCAAATAAAAAAATATAAAAGTATTCTAGTTTGCCAGTTTTAGGGAATGGTTCCGATGCTGGCTAGAAACCAGGAGACTGTGGGTTCTAGTGTCTCCTTAAGAATGAAAGCTGGCTGGATGACTTGAGGCCTCTTTAGACCAACTTACCTTATAGGGTTGGTATTATGGGGAAAACAGGAGCAGAAAGGAGTATTATGTATGGTTGCTGCCCTGAGTTATTTGTAAAGTAATATATTAAGCCACGATAAAAATTTAATAAATAAACAATAAAACAATTTTACAATGGCTTACCTCCACATAGCAGAAAATTACATTCCACTGATTTATCTATTTATAGATTTACTTGTTTTTCATTTTAAAAATAATTCCTAAATAGAATACAACTCTAAGACAATAAGAATATTATCATATTAAACATAGACGTATAATACAACAAATCCCTGGTTGAAGAAGCTTTCAGTTTTTGATAACTGAAAGCTAACAGCTGCCACTAATCTAGATAAGAAGTCCTAGTTCTCAGTATTTGTTCTGAAGTGAAACATCCTATTTAATTTACTGCATGGAGAATCCCTGGCAAATGTGTATGACTGGGCAAGTAAATAAAGAACATAATACATAATGATTCAGGTTCTGTACTATATAACATATTACTAACAGAAGGAAACTGAACATGGCTAAAGAATATGATGGCAGGTAGTGCAACTAAAATCTAGTCTGCAAAATTTTACAACAGTTGTAGCTTCCAGGACAACTTAAAAAAACAACAACCCATAGGCACTAATGTTTAAAGTGAGATATCAATGAAATGGGGAATAATCTAGAAAATCAAAAGATACAACTTCCTCCAAAATAGGTACCTTTTCTTTAGCAGAGAATCACAATACCGTGCCAACAACTCTGGAGATTTACTAGATGATTGTGCCATTTTTGTTACTGCATTATTATTTATGAAGCGACCACAAGCCTGTGAAATATATAAGTGAAATGTTCAGACATTTCCAAAATCAGTCACTTACTAATTATAAATATAGTACTTAAACATATTACCTTGTCTAGAGCTGCAACAAAGCCAGCATCATTGTTGAAAGCCGACATGACTAGTGCATTGTATTTCTTATGAACATCCAACACTGTTTGCACATACATTTTTGGATCCTAAAAATTTAAAATAAAGCAGTGGCAAACTCTCTTAATTTCTTTCAACTGCATGCTTTGAAGGAATCTTTTCATATCCATCTATTTAAATTGATTTGTAAAGGAAAGCTTGATTGCATTTAACATTTTACTTAATCATATATCTTCTGCTGAAACAGTACCAGTGTTATTTCTTTTAACAAAAAGCTTCTGATTATAGTACCAAGGTAACCTGTTCTTAACAGATAATAACATATGCTCCCTCAACAAAATCTTACCCAAACATTTTATTATATCAAAACAAATCAGTTTGTCAATTTCTAATAATTCATTTCAGCAGTTCTCAAATTGTGGTCTCAAATTCCTGAAACTCTGAGGTTCCACAAAGTCAAATATTTATTTTAAAATTTCTCAGTTTTAATTTCCAAAATAGTAATAGAGATAGACACAATCCACATAAACCACTTTGACGTCTTTAATCCCTTTTAAGCAAATAAGGGGGTCCTAGGACTGCAATGTTTGAGAATCACTGATTACACAAAAAGGAAAAACACAAAATATGTGTATTCATACTTGTTTACACCGGTGAAGGAAAAAATTATTTGATCCCCTGCCCTGCTGATTTTATACATTTGCCCACTGACAAAGAAATGATCAATCTATAATTTTAATGGTAGGTTTATTTTAACAGTGAGACAGAATAACAACAAAAAAATCCAGAAAAATGCATTTCAAAAAATTGATTTGTATTTTATTGAGTGAAATAAGTATTTGATCCCCTATCAATCAGCAAGATTTCTAGTTCGCAGGTGTTTTTTATACAGGCAATGAGCTGAGATTAGGAGCACTCTCTTAAAGGGAGTGCTCCTAATCGTAGCTTGTTACTTGTATAAAGGACACATGTCCACAGAATCAACCAAACAAACTCTCCACCATGGCCAAGACCAAAAAGCTGTCCAAGGATGTCAGGGACAAGATTGTAGACCTACAGAAGGCTGGAATGGGTTCCAAGACTATCGCCAAACAGCTTGTTGAGAAGGTGACAATAGTTGGTGTAATTATTAGCAAATGGAAGAAACACAAAATAACTGTCAATCTCCCTTGGTCTGGGGCTCCATGCAAGATCTCACCTTGCATCTCTCATTTTTCTAGGGGAGGGGGCATGTCAGAACCCTCAATTATTAATCCCTTATATTCCCCATGTTTAGCTGTTCAGGTTTGCCATTCTCCTATGGGGGAGGGGGGGAGACCAGGGGGCTTTATAGTGCATGTAGAATGCTTCCTATATCTATTTTGATGTATTCTCTTCGGAGTGTGAAAGGAATGCCTCGGGGCCATCTGCCTTATCTCCGTGGAGAAAGGAAACAGTGAAGACCAACAACCTTGAGATTGGCGCTGTTTTCCATAGCTCGATGACACCTATGGATTGGTCTGTTTGAACCAACCGAATGGACAGTTGGGGAGGTGTTATGTTTTTGTGGGTTTTACTTATCGTTTTGGGCAGGAAGACCTCAGATCCTGCCTAACTTTCCTGCTGTCTTACCTGGCAATAAAAGTTCCTTTTGAAATGATGCAAGTTTCAAGAGTTCTGCTTTCTTGGTAGAGAAGCAGAGGCAGTTCCTTACATGTTTATTATTTTTATAAATAACAAGGTGGCAAACATACTCCTTCCTCCTCTATTTTCCCTATAAAAACAACCCTGTGAGGCGAGCTGGACTGAGAGTAACTGGTTCAAAGTCACCCAGCTGCCTTTAATGCCTAAAGTGGAACTAGAACTCATACTCTTCTGCTCTCTAGTCTGGTGCTTTAATCACTAGACCAAACTGGATCTTAACTGATTTATGCTAAAGCAAATAAATACTGGAACCAGATTTTCATTTTAAGATTCTTAAAATAAATATAGTTTTCCTTTTGGGTCTGAAGGACAAAGAACTTGAAAGAAAATTTGAGAATTTATAATTATTTACGTTAACTGCAGCAAAATGTTTGTATGCCCAGAAACAGAAAGACATATCAATTCCCATAATGTAAGAATTGATGGTAAAGGTGATAGAATTGGTGGAGCTGACAAAACTGTCTTAATTAAGGAGAAGAATTTGTTTCCACCTGAAAATCATTTCTGAACTTTGTGCTCAAAATGGGGAAAAAATGAAACCCACCAGAAGTCAATAGGGAAGCCAGCAGGGAAGGTTGCAAGTTGCTCAAGTTGCTCAAGTAAATCTCCCCTATCCAGAAGCATCTATGTCTTGGTTTGCTTATATTATGCCAGATCACCACATGTTCTCCTTCCCTGGCAGCAGCTACTGCATGTCTATATTTTTTCTGCACCAGAATCTTGCAAACGTTCCCATCCACAGGAGCCATCTGAAATCTTGCTGTGCTCATGCTGCACAAGACTATTTTGCACTTTCCCCTGCCCCATAACAGTCACCTCCAGTTGGACCTATCCAGCATTTCCTGCACTTGTGCCATGCAACGCCAGAACCTTGTGCACTCTTCCTTGCCCTACAGCCACCACTCCAAGCTTCATTGCACTAGTGCAGTGGTTCTCAACCTTTTTAATGCCGCGACCCCCAACCGGTCATAAGTCGAGGACTAAACCGGTCATAAGTCGCGGACTACCCAACCGGTTATAAGTCGAGGACTTTCCCTGCCCGGGTGCGCCGCACATGCGTGGTGCCGCCCCCTGCGCTGGCCGAGGCGTAGCTGGCAAGCGGCAGAGAGGGAGCAGGCCGACCACCGGCTGGGCCACCAGCTTGCCCAGCCCAAGGGAGGTAAGGCACCCGCTGAAAAAGAGGAAAAAAATGGCCGACAGCCTTGCTTGGCGACCCCCGTGAAATGGTTGATCGACCCAAATGGGGTCACGACCCATAAGTTGAGAACCGCTGCACTAGTGTGTGCTTTCACATTCTCCCTTTCCCTGCAGCAACTACCCCAAACTTCCCTGCCTTGCACTGAGCTAGACCCTTTCGTATCCTTCCCTGCTCCATAAATATTTCTATAATTATGTGGTACTAGATATTTTTGTACCTCTCCCACCATACAGCAGCTACTTACCTATCAGCTGGCCCACTTGTGAGCAACCTGTTATTTATAGCTTTCTGCCAACTTCCCCACTGATATGATTGTTAGAAGTGGCAGGAAGCTGTAACATTTAATGACCCATAAACCTCACTTAACAACAGTAACCGGGACTGTTAGAATTACCATTTCTAAATAATATGGTCATTTAATGTTGTACTTTATTACGACATCACTTCTAAAGACAAATTCCAGTCTCAATTATTGTCATCCACTAAGGACTACTTGTATGCAGAAACTATTTCCAAATGATTGAAACTCATTTTTTTCTCAGGGAGTAATTTTAAAAGAAACATATATGTGTAATCTTTAAATATGGGCACCTCCTTCTTTTATTGCTACCACAGCAGTAGCTTCATTGTAGCCTGCATGGACTCATTCAGAAAGTACCAACATGGGCAGATACTTGTATCATCAGAAAAAGCTGGTCTACATTTGATATATTTGGCAAAAAACATGGAGTAGAATTCTAGTCATGTGCCCGTTTTGTAATAAAATGCTACATTTATATCATTTAAGATTTTCCATTGTTTTCGCATTGAAGAAAGCAATTTATTTATTCTATTATTTAATCTTCCAAGTGAAAAAAGAAATAGTTTATTGCTGGCAAAAGATATGTTCTTGAAAAAAATCAAGAGTATACTTTTCAATTGAAGCATGCAATGATTTTACATTCTATTCCCCAAAAGCCTATTACAAATTATTATTGCGGAGTTCTTAGTGATGTCTGACCTTGCTATTTTCAGAGTATCAGGGACCCCACAGTTCAATCATGAGCTACAAATATTCTTTCCTATCAGTAATTATTACTGCCCTGCCTCTATAAGTGAATGTAATTGAAAGCTACTTTCAAGTTTTTTTGAAAACAAAAATTTTGAATCACACAAAGAACAGCGTAAAATTATTGAAATAGTTTGAAAATGCTTGTTTAATATTCACAATAACAGATTTTTCATAGCAAAGCTTGACTATCTGCAGAAGACTAAGTAGCAAGATGATACAATCAATTTTGAATAAGGAATGGTTTATTCTTGCCTGCTACATGTACAATCCTAAAATCTTATCATGATGGATATTCATGACCCCCCCAAATGAAATCTTGAGTTACTATTCCTTTTGAAATTTGATGCAAACTTCTTCAGACTCAGTTAATGAATATGATATGAATTTAAGACATGCGGTCAATCTAATACTCACATTTAATGCAGCTTCTCCACATTTTTCAATGGCAGCTAAACCCTGATTATGAATGTGAGTTTCCAAAAGTTTTTTCAGTTCTCCAAGGCCATCCTGAATTCTAGACACAAGGTTATACATGCGTCCTAAATCTGGGAGGGAAAAGGAAGCAAGACTTATTTTAATTTGCATTAATAATTTATGTCACCATCTCAGTTATTAATCTAAGAATTAGGAAGAGATTAAGATCTGAAAATATACTAAAATAATCAACTAAATCTATAACAATGCATCTAGCTTCAGAGAGCAAAATGCCAGGAAGAATATTTTCATTTCAATATTAAACTATATTTTATAATCTATGACATAAAAATATCAAAATACAAAGCTTATTTTTTAAAAAACTTGCAATTTGATGATAAAGCACTTGAGGAATAATAACCAAAGTTAATAATTTTCATCAGATCATAATTTTAATTTCTGACAAATTAATGAAAATATTCACTGAGAAACCAAAATACTTTCATATTTGATATTACCCAACTGCAATCAGTTAACTCTTGGTGGGTAGATGATGAGAAATTATTTCCAAATCATACCAGGAATGTAAGTCATATGGAAACAAGCTCAACCTTCAATTCATGATTTATTAAAAGTAACTATCAATTAAACATGGAAAAGTTCACCTTCATTTTTGTCAGCATCCAATAAGTTCTGAAATTCTGTATGAAAGATTTCTAAGTGTTTTTCAATTAGTACTTGTTCACATTTCCGTGCTAGTTCATCTTGTGTGCTCTCATGTAGGTATACCTGAACCCTACGCTGTTCCTCCAAAAGACGAGCCTCTGCCTGTAAAATAAATATAAATTGTCTAAATTCCAAATGTAAAATAATTTAAAATGCAACTCTTGTTTAAAAAAGGCACTGTATATGCCCTGTAACTACTCCATGGAACAGTTACACAAACTTCAGGTTCAAACTAGCTGTTCATAGAACTTATAAAATGGGTGTACAACTACACTTGAATGGAAATACAATACAAAGCTTCCAGAGCTGGCCAACTTTTTCTGGGGGAATGGGGAATAGAGGGGTTTTAAGAGATGAAAGGAGTTGTCTTAGAATTGCCCTCACCTTTAAAATGTCAGAAAATCCTCCTAAATAGCCTTTTTGTCTCCTTGAGGAGTTCTAAGAAATGATCATATCACATATACCAACACTAGAATTTAGATTTATGACAAATAATTTGGAGGCTAAATCATTAAGACATAGAAACATAAACCATAAATACTTGAAGAGTAATTACGTCATATTTCTGTAATTTTGTTTCAGTATTTTTTTCCAGAAACAATTAAGAAGGGAGTAAGAATAATCCATGAATAATCCATTATTTAACCTGTTAATTTATTTTGGCATTTTCTAATTTACATTTGTTTCTGAGATTTTAAAACTATGTTAAATATTTCAAGATTCCATGTTTACTTATTATTTTTCATTCTTGAAATAGCTGTAATGTTTCAGAAGTTTCCTTCTGTTTAAGTTAAGAATTATTTCAGTTCTTTTATTTATTAATACCTCAATATTGGATCTAAATCCCATAGCTTTAGTTAAACAAGGCAAAGAAAAACACATACTCACTATATGTATGTTTAGCTTTGTAGCTTTGAAGCTAGCTCCTACTTGCAGTTCAGCAACTACCAGGCAAAACAGGTACTTAAATTCCTATTTCAAATATAGTACCAATTATTTTTAGAACCAGGAATTTGCAATATAACTATAATACCTTTTTCATGTATTCTGTTACTGGATTTTGCTGCAAAAATTCAGTGCTCTCTCTTGTATAGAATCTTTCTGTGTCAGCAAGAAATTGAGATTCAAAAGACTCTTTATATACAGTCAATGTAGGTCCCTTAGCAAAAGTATCATCTTCATTCAGTCCCAGCTCCACTAAAAGCACACAAATTTTTTAAAAAGGCACAAAATTAATTTTAGGGTAAGTTTACTTAAATAGCACAGATTTCATTTAGGAGATATAATGGAATTTTACCTCATTTAAAAGTGTTCAACTTTTAATAAAAGTTTTCAATAGGATAGAAAAGAACGATTTAAATGCAGGCTATAAATTATAATAAAGCATCTAAGATATTATTTAAATGCACAATTATATAATTTTTAAAAAGAAGTTAAATTTGAACGACTGCAGAGAAGGCTGCAATAACAAAATAATGTCTTTCTTCCTGAAACCAAAATAAAAGTGGCTATTGTTTCAAGAATTGCAGTCTAATCCCATGTATATCTTCTTAGAAATAAGTTCCAGACATAATTTATTCATAATAGGGATGCTTCATTAAAGGAATTATTAGGATTAAATAAATTTAATTTCAAATACTGTTGAAGTTTATTAAAATTTTACCTGTTATACAGGATCTAAATCTACATTTAATAAAAGAAAATATAACAGGAAAGTGTGAAGTGATACTAGTCAACTGAATCCTTTGAAAAACATGTGACCCTCACTACGTAGTAGAAAGTTTTCCACAAACCTTAGACTAGAGTTAGGCAATTCTCAACTTTAATTATCATTCTCTAAATTACTGACCAGCTGTTAACTTCCGTTTAATTTTTCACGTTTACGAAATCAAGGTGGCAGAAAAAAAACCACGATTTTTCCCACTTGCTTAAAGAGGAGAATCAGAAACTACCTACTTCAAAAACTGGCTGTTTTGAACTGTCTGGTTTTACTGATTTATGTAATAAAAAATTTGTATTAGTCTAAACCTAGTCTATGTTTCTCATGAAAAATGGGGATCTTTGAATCGAAAGCAAAGGAAGTGATTTTTTTTTCATATTTCCTGCAGATTGTTCACAAGCAGAGTCCAGAAAAAATGTGTGCTTTAATGAAGTGTTATTCTATTTTATATCTCCACCAACATCATGATTTACTCATTCCTTTTAAATATAAACTTACTGGGTTTTGGTAAGCCCAAAATACTTTTTATACTAACTGAAAATTCTGAGATGAAGCATTAAACTGATTTTAAGATGAAACTGAATATTTTAGATGCACACCTTTTGAATTATTACATGGAAACTGACAGCTGGACAATGAAAGTGAATTTTCTACAGCCTTATTTCTGGAAACATTGGGGAAAAAATTATGGTCCCAATTACTCAGCGGATTGATGTCACTCATGATTTATAAATAGTTTACAGATAATAGATTATGAAAGGAAAATTATAGTGAAACATGGTAATCGTTTATTGAAATAATCATATAAAATTAAATATATCTGTATCCATGTATGCCTAAGAAACTATATGTTATATGGTTTTGCATTGTTTCTGTCTATTGTTTTATTAAATTTTTATTTATCTTATTAAATATAGAAAAAAGCCTAACTGTAGCAAAACAAATAGGGTTTTTGTTCTTTTTCTAGCATTTTTTTTTATCTCTGAATACAGAAATGAACAAATTTTATGACCCAGTAAATATCTATGTAAATATAATTAAAAATAAAAGCCTTAATTTTTGGAAACAGCAAAAAGCGGTCTTAGGTGTTGATTTTGGAAAGGAAGTAGATAGATATAAAAGAATGAAAAAAATACAAGTGGGATGTTTAAAATACTTTGATCATGTGATCATTAGGGTGCTATAAAGGTTGTAAGTGTGAAAATGGTGATAAGTCATTTTTTTCAGTGCCATTGTAACTTTGAATATCACTAAAGATCACTAAACTGTCGTAAGTTGAGGACTATCTGTATTATTTGACACAGAAGAAAGTAAGGATGTTTGGAAACAGTATTCTCAGAAATCACTTACAAGACTATCTAATGCAGCGGTTCTCAACCTGTGGGTTGCGACCCCATTTGGGGTCGAACGACCATTTCACGGGGGTTGCCAAATAACGCGATCCGCCATTTTTTCCTCAGCTGGTGCAGGGGGTGGCACCACGCATGCGCGCTGCACAGGGGGTGGCGCAGGGGGCGCCGCCGCGCATGTGCCGCGCGCAGGGAGCGGTGCATGGGGGCGGCTCTGCACATGCGCACCACGCAGGGGGCGGTGCCGCGCATGCGTGCCACGTGGGGGTGGCCCCGCGCATGCGTGCCGCGCAGGGGGGCGGCACCGGGCATGCGCACTACCTCCTTATGACCGGGGTCGCCAGTATAAAAAGATTGAGAACCACTGATCTAATGCTATCACTGAGGTTATAGAAGAATAACAAATTTTACTGAATAAAGCAAACGCGGAAGCTGATTTGAATGTGGATTTGGATTTTTAAAACAGTGATATGGAAAAACATGCTACAATGGATTTACAAATGAAACCAGTAAATATCTTAATTAAAGAATATATACAAGTTGAGTGACTTGGAAAGCTTTATTATCTTGATTTACAAAAGAGATATGTGAAACTAATGAAATTCTTAAGAGGAGACAAACAGAAAACAATAAAAAAATTCACTTGTGAGATATGACAGGATTAAAAGATATGACAAGAAAAGTAAACAAAAGGAACTCAAAGTGGACATCTGATCAGGCTTAATATATATGTTGTAGATATGGGAAAAGATACAAATATTACACATTTCAAATTCCTTTACATAGAAACAAGAAGGGACTGAATATAAACCAAGCTTTAATCTTTACAATGGGAAAAAGAAAATAAAACAAAAAATACCAACAATCATTAATATTAATTTTACCATAAGATTGCACAACTCCACTGATCAGTCTTGTATTGATAGTTTCGCCATTTCTTTCTTTTTCAATCAGCTTCAATACAGCATTTGTAACCTTTGAAAATATGAATTGGACAAATATACAAATTGATCACTCCAATAATATAATGGATCTTTTTATAGTAAATAGAATACTTTGAGTACCTGGGTGGCATGCAATGCCCCAAACCCTCAGATGTGATCGTTAGGATTCCTTCCAAATGTTGCACCAAAATATTATGTTTAATAAAATGGAACAAAATTAATACATTAATGTAATAATCATACATAAAATACTGGGGAAGAATAATTTGAATTGTTTAAAAAATTATTCAAATAAATAAAATTTATTTTTGGTCCTCACCCCATTTATTTTTTGAAGTACATGCCATTCAAAATCCCATGCAGATTTTTAGACCTTTATTAATGATACGTTAATGAGACAATTGAAATAGTTTAACTAACTATGGCCTATTATTATCCAGAACGTATTGCAATGGACCTCGGGTTAATACATTCAGCTCTTTATGAGGTTAGCATTTTTGCATTTCAGTTTTTTTAATTACTGGGGTTTAACATTAAAATTTAACTGTTAAATATTATGTACACATGAGTTATTAAACATGATAAAGAAATACAACTAGATATTAACAACATATTGATGATACTGTACTCCAAAGCATTAAATGATTTCATGGATAAAGTGAGGATAAAGAGGATAAAGTGAGCTCTATGGCGCTCCAAACTGCAGTATCTTAGGGCTTGATTGGTCTTTTCATATCCATATGCATCAATTAGAGCTACAGGTACTTCAACTTAAAAAGTTTGTTTAGTGACCATTCGAAGTTACAAAGGCACTGAAAAAAGTGACATGACCGTTTTCAAACTTACAATCATTGCAGCATCCCCATGGTCACACGATCAAAATTCAGATGCCTGGCAACCTGTTTCATATTTATGACAATTGCAATGTCCCAATGGCATGTGAATACCCTTTGCAACCTTCTGCTATGCAAAGTCAATGTGGAAGCCAGATTCACTTAACAACTGTGCTATTAACTTAACAGTGATTCACTTAACAACACCGGCTCAAGGTTGACTCAGCCTTCCATCCTTCCGGGGTAGGTAAAATGAGGACCCAGATTGTTGGGGGCAATGTCAATATATATATACATTGCTTACTGGTGTACACCGCTTAGAGAGTGCTTGCACTTAAAGCGGTATATAAGTCTCATAAAATAAATAAATAAAAATAAACTGTGACAAGAAAGTCGTAAAATGGAGCAAAATTCACTTAATAATTGTCTCACTTAGCAACAGAAATTTTGGGCTCAATTGTGGTTGTAAGTGAAAATTATCTGTCTGCTCAGGAAGGAAAAAAATTACTGTAAAATTGTATCTCCAACCTTCAATTCATGCAAGAGTTCCAAAAGGCACTACAGTCTATTAAGAACACAAAATAATTCAGTCACACTAGCAAATCCCTGTTTAAGTCCCACAAAAGGTTAGAAATAAGAGCAAATAATTCAATTTTTAATCCATGCCCACATCTAAGCCCTGACGGAAAAGAGCTACTGACTCATTATCTTCTCTTCCAGAGAAAGCTGGAGTCTTAGCAGTTTAAAATTATTGAATCCAAGAGTGGTTCCTTATACAGAAGGTACACAGCACTTCTTCAAAGATATAAGGAATTTCCCCTCCCATAATGAAGCATTCACAATAGTTCAGATCCAAGCTCCTATTCTCTCCAGGTTCTATATACTGCCAGATAGCTAAGGGAGCTAGTCCATGGTTAGCCTAGTTTATGATTGTGAAAACTACAGTTCACAGGGCAAATTTGGCCCTCTATCTCTTTTGGTACACCTGCAAGATAAGATGGGAGATGACAGATTCGATGGGACAAAGCCAACGTTGAGAGCAAGACAACAATGGGGCATGCCCTGTGGCATTCCTTTTTGCTGGTAGTCCAGCACTCCTAATACTTATCACGCAACTTGGCCTACAGACCTTTTTGTTACACCCACTGAGGCATTTCAGACCTGCTACAGTCTCCAAAGTTAACTGCCACTGCTTGCACCACACAGGGAAGTCTCCAATCCTGGGCTGTGGCCCACTACTGGGCTGTGGCCCGCTACTGGGCCATGGCCTATTCAGAACCAGGCCATGCAGGTGGCAGGCTGGTGTGCATTCACACCCACCTTTGCGTGCAGGTCAACTTGTGCAAGTTGAGCTGTGCACATGCACACACAGGCACCAGCCCGCCACTCACACGGCCCCCTCGCCAAGCTGGGCTGCCAAGCTGCAAAGGCTGAGCTACAGTGGCACATTGGTACTCAACTGCATTTTGTCCTGTACTCATCATTTATTTGGTACTTGTTGCACAAGCTAGAACTTGTTGATGTCGGCTGCTTTATGACTCACTACATTATTCCTTATGGGAAATATTTGTTTTGGTACTCACCATTTTTGGTACTCATTGCTCCTTCTGGAACCAATTAATGATGAGTACTGAGGTACCACTGTACTGTCCTGGGGTGTCAAAAAGCCAGAAGGAGGGCACAGCAGCAGTGGCTCTTCTCATATAATTCCACTTCACCGAGAAATAAATACTTTAAAGTATTTTTATAATCTTGCCCTTTATAGAAAAATTTTGGTGATCCATAGCTCATTCCACAAAATGTTCTGTCCACTTCCTCAAGATCCACAGGATCAAACCCCTTACAGATAACACTACAGGACATTTTGCTCAGCAGTTCACATCATCCAGCCAAGTTAAGGTGAAGGAGGGAGTTTATGTCAAAACCCATTCTTTCCCTGGGGGGGACCAATTTAATTTCTTTTTAATTTCTTTCTGAGGGTTCTGCTATTCTCCTGAGGGCGAAGGGGGAAGGCGCAGCATTATGTTTCTCTTCTCTGCTACAATGTATCCTTTCTGCTGTTTCTACCAACTTGCTCTTTGAACTTTCTCTCCCTTGCTGTTACCTTGGGGTGAGAAAGAAATGTGCCTCCGACCATCCGGCTTATCTCTCACTGCAGAAGGGAGGGTGTGAAGACTTAACAGCACAACCATGGGAATAGACTCTGTTATCAGCTCCGTTCCCACAATGACTTGGGACTGGCCCATTCAAACTGACCGGATGGACTATTGCTGGAGGACTAAGCAAACAATGTCTGATATTGGAACGGAGAGCCCAGCCGATACAGTTCTCAATCCTCAAGCTCGTCAGACAAGGTAGTGATCGTGGAATGCCATTACAAACCTAGGTAGTCGATGGGTGTCGGGAAGGAGGACTAGGAGAAGAGATCCAGGAAAGTGATGCTTAGACATGGCAGTCACCAGTCGGGTTGGAAGGTTGAGATGAAGAGGTCGCTTTGCCTTAGTGAAGATGAGGACCGACTGCCCCATTCCAGCCAGTTCCTGGAGCAAGCTATCGACGTGCTGAGAGTCGCCTTTGATTCCATGAAGGAGGAGAAAGCAGACCATGCCAGGGAACTGCTAACCCAAGTTCAGCCAAAGGAACAGATGAAGAAGGGGTGAACCAGCAGTCCCAGGCCCTTCCAGTGCCATGGAAGCAGCAACCATTGCTACCGCCGCTGCCACCCCCGGGCGAGCCACACCAGCCGATGGAGATGCACACCAACACAGGGGAAAGGGATATCAATCTATCTGAAAGTTCCCACGGCTAGGAGTGAAGTACTGCGGGAGCCGTGTTGGCTGGGGTTTTTCCTGACCCAAGTGTTGAACTACATAGAGGAATATGGCCGAGACATACCAAGTGATCATGGCTGAATACGGATTGTGAAAGCAGCCCTAGATGGTACTGCAGCAGTCTGGGTAGTGGATCTCCACGATGCCAATGCCCCAGAACTGCAGAATTTCAATCAATTTATGGCAGCCCTCAGACGCAGATCTGAACACCCTTTGGCTGCTGAGAAAGCACGAGAAGACTTCAAAACTGTCAGGCAAGGGCAACGGCCATGGCGGATACACCCAAGAATTCTGGGCCCTGGCCAGCAAGCTGAACTGACCGAAAGATATTGTTCTGTCCCAGTCTATGTGAGTCCTTGTTATGCTCACAAGAAGAAACCCCTCTTCCAAAAAACAGACAGGAACTGTAAGAAAAAAACAACCCCTTTTATTCTCATAGACTTGAGTCAATGTCCAAGGCAAACACAGTCCACAGAAACTCGATCCTCAACACGAACGATTCCCTTCGGCAACCAGCACCTCCCACACCTTCACTTTTATTACTCAGCCAAGGCATGGCTTCCTAATACCTTCTCATTTGCTTTTAGAGCTGCCCCATTGCATTACTCTGTCCTACTCACTTCTCTTGCCGGTGCTTTCATGCATCCTGGATTTGTCCCAACTGTTCTTTATCACTGTCTAACTCAGGCTCCCAGCATAGCTGTCTCAGCCTAAGCAGCTAAGTAGAGGGGCCAGGCTCCTCATCTGATTTTAAGTCTTGGAGCTCCTCAGAGCCTTCCTCTGACTCTAATGTCACTCCAGGCCCCTCCTCCTCATCTGATTCCTCAGACTTAGCTGCCGGATCCACAGGCTGGCGAGGAATCACAACACTATCCCACACCGCAGGACCCCTCCCCCAGATCTGCCAGGCCGGATGTGGTCGTGAAGGGAACTGTTTGTAGAATGATGTCATCAAGGCAAGAACATGGACATTGGTCGCATCCCCCCAGATGAACTCCTTGTCCATAGTCCTTCCACTCAATCAAATACAGAAATCGCTCTTTCAGCCAACAGGAGTCTCAAATAATGATGATCTCATACTCAGGAGAGCTGTCTCCATCATGTTGTTCTGGTGGGGGATATTCTAATCATCAAAGTGGACATGCCGGCTGTTCTGGGATCAATAGAAACTGATGCAAGACCGGATGTACCAGTAATGACCATGGCAAAGTTAACCGATAAGCGACCAGGTTGATGATGGTTTTGATAGGGAATAGTCCTACATACTGGTGGTCTAGTTTCTTGGCAGGCCAGTTATACGGCAGGTTCCTGGTTGAAAGCCACACCCAATTTCCCACCATTAATGTAGGCATATTTCGTCTCGACGG